GCGTGCATGAATTTTTTTTCCGTTTAATTTTCCCTTGCGCGAATACCTTTTTTGTACTTCGCCCCCCCACCCCAAACGATAAGTTTTCTAAAAGTCCGTCCCTTATCTCCTCGTGTAATCTGATCCTTTTTAGGGGTGAGAATATTGCTTGTTGCACATGGAACACTTTTGCTGTTTTACAAACTTCTCTTCGTTAAAACTTAACATTATGGCCCATAAAATTAATACAGTATATCAAGTGCTCATGTTTCTTGACTACAGTGGCCAGGTTTGACAAATAAATTTTGGTAAATAAACACAGGAAGTCGCGACGGCGGGAATTGTGCGAAACGTCCCCAGCGGTGTAGAGCGAAGGAGAAACGGATGCTTTCGCAGGCTACATTCAACTTTAGCCGGTGCGACAGGTACTACCTTTTGATTGGTTGACAAATGACCACTTGGTCTCAGGGGAATCTACATTACATCAGGTTACACTTTTTTCAGCTCGATCGAGAATTTTTCTGCCTCTCAACCCAGTCTTGCGCGGCTCTATTCTGCTGCCGCCTCGCCATCCGAGCGTCTTCGCTCGGATGGCTCGTTGGCAATTATTTGGAAAAAATCCGTCATGGTTTGCCCCTGATCAGGAAAAATTAATTGACTTTCTCATGGCAACTTAAGGGGACGTTTGATGGCATGGCGAGTGAGAGTACCTCACGATTATCAAGTGCATTTCAACTCGAGGCAAAATCTTGGAAAATTATCGAAATATCGCTTCTTCAATAAACGGTCATGAATTTTCTCAGAATTTTCAAACAAAATGCTGAGATTCAAAACTGGGGGAATTAACTGATTTCCAGAGGAACCAGCTGATTTAAGAGATTAATTTTTGCTATAGTATTGTATTGAGACATTTGCAAAAGAAAAAGGATGAGGGAAATTAACTGATTTTCGGAGGAACTATTAGTTAATTTCAGAGCCCCAGTAATTTTTATTATAGTATCGTATGGAGGCATTAGCAAAAGCAGTCGTTGGTCAAAGTGCAGTGTCATATCCGAAAGAATACACCGAGAGATTTTGGGTGAGAAATAGTTTTCAAAAAAGGATCAAAATTAGAAAGCACTGTCATTGACAAACGGCCGGGCCAATATGCGAATATAATGGTACGAGTAATTTAAGATTGTCTTCCTTCAATTCTACCTACTATCATGTCCATCATTAACACCTCCTTCACCACCAATACATTCCCAGAAGCGTGGAAGCTTGCTGAGGTGACAAAGTACATAGCGATCACGAGATACCCAATAACAATAGACCCATTTCACTATTTCACTTGATTTTGCCAGTTTTGTCAAAAGTTAGCCTGCGTGCAGACGATAACTAAACTCTGATTAGTACCGTCTGCGAAGCAGCGCAGAGATCCTTGTTCTGGGCCCCCAACGGACTCAACAAATTACCGGAAGTGCGTTTCGAATTCCCCTTCAACCTGATTGGCGATCACGACAAACAAAACAAAGCCTTTTTTAACTGGCCAATCGTGGCGCGTACTCAAATCTGGGTACACAGCTGGAAGTCCAGAACAAGGATTTCGGCGCTGTTTCGCAGACGGAGTTAACCAGAGTTTAATTTCGTCTGCGCGCATGCAGGCTAGTCAAAAGTGTGCCAAAGGACATGCTCATAACCAATTTTAGTCTCAAAGGAACGTTTGACCCCGAAACAGGGCGCAAACTGAAACAACATCACTCAACTGAGACCACGTACACTGATTCAAACTACCGACCTGATGCTACGCGCTATGGACAAACAATTAACCGCGACAGACTTTTGATAGCTTACACCTCTACACCACAGATTTTCTATTGACCAGTAAACTCCATTTGATGCATGTTCCACCGCCATACAGTGGTTCCAGAGTTATATCTGTCGTGCCGATATCAAGTTTTACGCATCAACACTACTCGATCTGTCAGATGGCTTGCAAATAACTAACGGTGTACTTAGCGAAGTATCTTTGTCCCGCTCTTGTTCAGTGTTTACGTTAACGACCTTACATCGGTCATGCAGCACTGTTCCCCACATGTTGACGATACGAAACCTTTTTTTTCTGTTATCCTATGTACCAAAGGAGGAGAGAGAAGTCAGAAATAAATGAATCAGGACCTGCTCAAAATACGGGACTGGTGCTTTGAAAACCAACTATTATTCTATTATTAAGCCAAGACAGGAGCAAGTTAATGAGTTTTGAAAGCAGACGAAATATTAGGAATTAGAGTAAATGATTTTAATCTGTCCCTTCTTGGGAAGCAGCTTGTACCTGCAACAACTGCTGAAGACCTCGATGTTTTTTTGGACACAAATCTAAATTTTAATGACCACGTAATACTATAACTGTGCTATCGTGTATGTCATGTCTCAGATTAATCGAGTTAAGAACTCTTTTGACAAGCAGTTACTATTAATAAATGCGCAAGTCTTTAGTAAACTGTTCTACTGCTCCACTGTTTGGAGCTGAACACCCCTCGAACAAATTTAAGCAAGTTACAGGCAGTCCAAAACTTTGCCTGTCGTATTGTAAGCGGAAAAGGGAAATTCGACCACATGACTCCAACTTTAAAGGAATTGCACTGGAGCTACTCTGCTACCTGGATGCCATAATGGCAGTCAAGTGCATGACGGGACGTGCCCTTGGATACCTGTCCGCACAGTTCATTAGATGATGTGACGTTACAGCCAGCAGAACAAGAAATTCTCAAGTTCTCCTCTTTTTAGAACAACTAGCGGTCAAAGATCTTTTTATTATAGAACAGTCACATTATGGAATTCTTTATCAAACGATCTTAAGCTTTGCAAATCATGATCAGTGAGCCATTTTAAACGTTGCCTTAAGTTAGGTCCCATACCTAAGTTTTGTCACCATACGTGTCGAAAAGAATTGAGCTGTGTTATTTGCAAAATGTTGTTTTTAAGACTCGTTTTATCCTTTTAGAGCGGTTTTCACTTGACTGTCGAAAGTAATTGAAGAATTGGTTTGGTTTTGGTTTTACTACGCCCTTTGGTTGACTAGTGCATTTACTTTGGTTTTGGTTTTACGACAGTCAAGTGAAAACCGCTCTATTGTATTTTGTACTGTATTTACTTAATTCATTTAATCTATTTTATAGTTTTGATCGTATTTTATTCTAATGAAATAGTTCTAACTGTAAATATTTTAAGTTTATGATAATTATTTTAGTTTTTTTATTATTATTACCTCTGAAAATCCCCCGTGGGGAAGTGGCAATAAAGTATGTATGTATGTTAATTAACAATTAGTTCATGCGTCAGCGTGCGTATGTCGAGATATTGAGCACGCGGGAAGTTTGGAGAGCACGAAAGAGGCGTAAGAGTTGCACGAGGCGCAGCCGAGTGCAACTCTAGCCTCTTGAGTGCTCTCCAAACTTCCCAAGTGCTCAATAACTCGACATACGCACAGCTGCAGCATGAACTAATTGTTTTATAACATCATCAAAGCGATCAATGCATCAGTTAACTTATAATTTTATTATTGTAGGGTGCGCTCAAAGCAGTACGCGTCAATGTTTACGTGACTATATATTTTTTTCCTCACAGTTAATCTTATGTTTTTATCCTGAAACTGAGAGAAAGTGTACTCTAAAATGATTATAAAATCCATATTTAGGTGCCGGAAAACTATTAATTTACCGAAAAATTGTTATTGAGAGAAAACAAGTTTGCAAAGAATGAACTCACGCCATAGCCCGCACAGCTCGCGGAGATGACAACAACAACAACAACACTCACCTCTTTTCCTTACTATCGGTTAACAAATTCAAACGTTTCCTCTTAAATTTCCTTATAAAACACATCGTAAACGCTTCCTTGTCTATTGCTGAGTTATGGATGCACTCAGGAGACTCAGGATTGCTAAGCTCACAACCACTTGAGGAATTACGAATAGTTTATTGACGTCATCAGCGTGCTCAATAGGAATATGAAGCACGCTCGCGCTATTGAATTTGATTAGGCGAATTTTCTAGCTATGTTATAACGTCTTCTTGCAAACAAAATTCACTGATTTATTAAGACACGTACTTGAACTAAAAACACTGACATAATATTCAACTTTAAATCTTAAAGAAAATCTTACAGAAAACGTATAGTTTGTTGGAGTTTTTTAAAGCACGAGCGCCATTGATAGTGATTTCACGCGTGCAGACAGGTCTCTACTCTGGCTGATACCTTATGAAACAAAAAAGGTGACTTCCAAAAGTGGGACTTTAATATATTAAGAAACCCTAACTGGAGCTAGCTGATCCCATCCCCAGACGCTTGCTGGGAACTGTTTTGAGTGATACGGCTATGTCCATTCAAATAGTATAACCCATACCTCTGTATTGTTATTGGCTTTAGTAGAACTTCGAATGAATAAGCAATCACAAATTAATGATAGAATTGGGTAGATATAATCAAACTACGAAGGATAATAGGCATTGCCCTTTTTTTGGGTCCTCTCTAATAGAAGACGAAGTCCACTTTCTTCTCCACTGTCCTACATCACTCTATAATAAGGAATAATCTTTACAATATAATCCAGACTCGGATTCCAAATATTACCTATGCAGTTACCTGTAAACGTTTTGATCAATGAGCTGATGAACTCCTCCAATTACTTTATCAATATACAATTCATAATATATTTCAGCTTGCTTTGATGTTCGTATTAACAAATTATTAGCAAAGTAACGTAATTGCCCTATGATGTAATTTTGATTCTTAAAATAGCTTTTGCAATACACTGTATGAACTTGTATGGTCATGCAAATAAAGCTCGTTGTTGTTGTTGGTTGTGCATGCTTACTTGGTGACTTTGGTGATTTTTAGCCAATAATTATCAACCAGGACCAGCCATACACAGTCTACACAGTGTAAACAATGATTAAAAACTATTAGAAAGGTTGACTTAAAGTTCGTGTAAAAAGTACGATAGGGACACGTCAGTTTAGCCATCACACCATCATATGCAACTACTTAGGAGCGCTGTCACTTGGAGAATGACCAGTTACATCTCCAACTGAAAAGGTTGACAAATCGCGACTTCGTAATCTTCCTTGATGAGCGTGGACCATCCACTTGCACGGCCAAAAAACCTTTGAAAACAGTCTCTTATAAGGTAAACGAAACTCGCGATTTAAATAGCCGTAAAGGATTGGATTCGTGGCAGAGTTGCTGTAGACAAGTGTAGATATGACGAGAACTACAACAGGAGTTATTAAATTCTTGAAAAAAGCACTCAAGATGACTGCAACCATGAATGGAATCCAGCACAGATAAAACACTCCGACCACTATTCCTGGAAAAAAACAAAGACATGCATTGTAAAAATCATCGAGATTAAAATTTCTTGAAGTGATAGGCATAAAAGGTGCTGCAGCGTCCGGCGGCAGCGTGGCCCGGCTATAATGGTCAGCGTGCGGGGCTTCGGCACGCGTTCCTTCCCCACGGAAGTCTGCTGAAAAAACCACGAAAATTAACTTTCAAACAAGTAAAACCAGTTACGAGCTGCCATTGATATAATAATCCGAATTAATTTCTGGCCCTTTTCTATAAAGTGTCGAAAAATAAATGTCCTTCCTGAAGGAAATGACAGGCCGGTTTACCGTACAGTCAAACCTCGTCAGTACGGACACGCAGTCAGGTAGAGACCATGCATAGAAAGTGTCCGTATTAAAGGGGTGTACATTATTATCGGGTTGATTTTAGAGAAAATGTAAGGGCTTGCTTTCCCCAGGGATAAAGCAAACTGTCCGTAATAACGAGGTGCACATCATTCTCTCTTGCGAGGTGTTCGTGTTAAGGGGGTGTTCCTATAGAGGGGTGTGACTGTACACTGAAGAAGGGTTATAATACCCGAAACCGTCTGCTTCTTTAAAGACATTCATGACACTTTTCGATAATTTGTTACAACATCATCATCCTTTAGTCTAAAATAATTAACTGATGGATGCTGTTAAAACCGTCGTCAGCAAGGTTACTCAGTTCTTCTCCTCGAGTACCAGTAACTTTTCAGTCAAGCTCTGAGCATTTTAAACTAACAATAACCCTAGTCGGATGAAGATGCTAGGCCAAAATACAGCTGAATTTGTGTAGTTTAGTTAGAATTTCTTTCATTTCAAAATCAACACCACTTAATTCCTTACAGAAAGCAATGAGAGAGACCAAAATGCTCTCACCAGAAGTATCCTACAAATCTAAGATAATTCTAGCCTGAAGCTCCCTGCAAACGGACGCAACATTGTTGGATGTTTCATGTTGCGTCCGTTTGCGCACCCTGTTGGATGTTGTTGCGTGTTGTTGCGCAAAGTTTGAAACCGGTCAAAACCCAACATTGTTGTTGTTGGCGCAACAATGCTTGGAGTTGTTGCGTCCGTTTGCACGCAGCCTGAGAAACCAGCCGACATCATTTTGCGACGTCACCCTTGCTTCCCCCCTCGAAATGAAGTCTGAGAAACGAGGGCAGAAATTCCATACTGATGATGCGTCACTATCCAGGTCTGGGTAGTGCTTGTGGTTGGTCGCGTGGGAAATTTTGCTTCAACCAACCAGAAGTACTACCCAAATCTGGGTAAATGCGTTATTGCCAACGAGCAGCCTCGCGAAGACGCGAGGCTGCGAGGGGGCAGCATAATAAGGCCGTGCGCGGAAGTTCCATAGGGAGAATGAATCTCGACGCGATGTAACATATTAAGGTAGTGTAAAGTAACTGTTATGACGTAATGCAGGACAAGGACTGTAAGAAAAATATGCTATTTAAAGTCAGTGTTTCGAATTCTTTATGCAGTAGCCGAACAGTTTAGTCCACCGTTTTCAAGGCAATTTTCGGTCATGCAATCGAATTGAGTTCAAAATATTTTACGCAAATACACTGCTACCAGTTTATGCCCCTAGGAAAAAATAATAACACCGCAAAATTTATTGTGTCTTTGAAGCAAAATAATTGGGAAGGCTTCCTCGGTGCAGCATAAATCTTTTTTTTTTTCCTGAAAAGTAGACTTCCTTAGCCTTAAAAAGAAACCTAATAGAGACACTGGCTGTTTACGCCTCTAGGAAAAAATTATAACGCCGGAAAAATTGCTGTCTTTCAAGACAAATAATTAAAAAGGCTTCATCGGCGCACCATAAATCTTTTTTTTTTCTGAGAAAGTAGACACCATAAGCTTTAAAAAGAGACCAAATATAAATCTGTACGTTGAATATTCGCGGACTTTTAATTTTCGAGGATTCTAAGTTCGCTTATATGACAACTAAATTTTACGCAAAATAACCTGTGCGCAACTTCGAACAAAAACACGAATTTCAATATCTCGAAAAATATGCTATATAAAGTCGGGATTTCAAATTCTTTATGCAGTAGAACAGTTTAGTTCACTATTTTTAAGGTAATTTTTGCTTATGTAATCGAACTGAGTTCAAACTATTTTTCGTAAATTCCGGTAACTCATGACATTTCTAAACAAATTGAACAGTGCGCGCGTATAGGTAAAATCTTTGCTCATTGGCACTTAACGATAGCTATAACTAGTCATTATGGAATAAATTGTGCGCTCGTTTCTCAGACGTCATTTAGCAGGGGCACCCAGTGGATCTGTTTCTCAAAATATCTGTTCTTCAAGCAAATTTTTGCTGGCTAGGAGACTTGGAACGAGTAATATGTCCTTGGAAGGAAAGTGTTGCTGGGAAATAGACAATTCAGCGTGTCTGATTGGATTTGAATTGATGTAAGGACTGAATTTTGCCCTATGACCACACCCAAACTGGGCAGTAATGTCTGTACATACGTCAGCTGGGAAACTTCCTGGTAAGTCAGGTTGCAGATTGTAGGTGCACCTTTCTGGCTCTTAATTCTTCCATCTGTCTTGCTGGGAGTAAGGAACAACACTAAAGGTAATTTTTTGCCAGCTGCAATCTCCCAAAATGCTTAATTAAAATGGTTTCAGAAAGCTTTATTCATGCTTTGTTAATTTGTTGTTTTTAGGTCTTTTGCTGAAAATTTCTCGTTGGGTGCCCCTGATTTAGCGGGAGACCAGTGGTAGCGTTGCGAGGTGTTTGCTGTTTTCTCAGATTAAGATAATTCAAAGTTTTGAAAAACTACTTTGTCAAGTTTATAAAAGGTCTCTGAAATGGAAAGATGTAATTAAAGCATGAAAATAGTGCGTTATCAAAGTCATTATAACACACCGCTTCAATCAACGAATCAGTTTCCAGAATTTGGCACAGAGCAGAAAGTTAAGAGTATTAAATTATATAATAAAGGTTCAACCTGGGCCTGTAGAAGCAGAAGACCTCTAGGGAAAATAAGCAATTTAAGTCTAACTTTTTGACTATTATAATCTTAGGGCGTGAGCTGAAGTTTAATAGATCGAAACTGGGCTATTGCCGTAGGCCAGTCTGTAGGAAGCAAAAATGATATTTGTCAGAGTGTTTCGGCTGACTGCCTAGCATTGAATAGACATGAATAGATCGATGTTCATACTATTATTATATATCAGCATAAGTTAGAACAATATAGTTAGATGATCGATTGATCACCTGCTGTTGTATACTTTTAGAAAACAAAAAAGGTTTCACACAAGCAACGCATTTCAGATGGTCGCATACGAAGCAAAATGCATGCATGCATTAATACCCGTTGGTTTTTCTCCACTTTTTTCATTTACAACTCCTAATTTAAAAAAATAAAATTTCGTTTAAGCGAGTTTCTGAATTTAGCGGGCAACGGGACTTTAAAACCAGAGCATTGAAATCTCTAAGGACAGGGTTTTATGACTTCAAATTGTTTAATTGTAAAAACCGAGTATAATTCAGTTTAATTCCAAAGACTTTAAAAAAATGTCTGAAAGAGATCGGGCAATTAATCAAAATTTGAAACCCACGCCGCCACAACATTTTTAGCAGTTAATCTGATGAAATTCATGGCATTTTGGGCTGGCGAAATATGATTAAGGAGTTAATTCAAGCAGATTTCAATCACCCGAGCAGACTTTTAAAAAGAACATATAATTTTCATGACTATAAGTATATACTGGTCTTGAAAATTATAAACTTTTCTTTTCCTTTAGTGTGGTAGGTAGAAAACGCTATTTTACCTGTATCGCTGTGGTGCTTTCTAAAATCTTCGCCAGGGAAATTCTTTCCTTAGGTAAAATGCATGGTTAAATTAAACATGAAGTACAACTCACCAATGTTCTTCGCGGTTTTCGACTCCTTCAACCCCGACACGATTTCCTCTCCTTCTCTGGGAATCTGCAGAGAGTTCAGTCGACGTCTAAGCTTGCTTGCAGCATGGAAAATTTTAACGTAGGCATAACTGATGAATAAAGTTGGAAATAAAACAACAACGGCAGAAAAAAATGACAAATATTCCGCGCTCATCGTGTCTGCGAATCTACAAATTCTGTGCTGATTGCTTCGCTTCTGAACAGTTTTGTTCTTTAAGCCTACAAATGGTAGGAATGATACCATGACAGCCACGATCCAACCTACAAATATGGCGTAGAAAATTCTCCGCGAGGAGAATTTACTTTGGTAAAAGAAAGGTACGATGATAGCGCAATAACGTTCAATCGTTAGAATCAAAAGGTTCAGCATCGTAGCTGACAAGCTGAACAAAGTCAGACTCAAGGAACACTGGCACCAGAATATACTCCGCGACCAACTGAAAGCCTGTGCTTCCACAATTCTTAGGGGCAACACGATAACGCCAACAAATAAATCAGCCACTGCTAAAGAAACCAGTGAAAAATTCGCCGCCTTTTGGAGGGAACGAGTCGATTTAACAGCCAAAATCAGCAAAAGATTATCTGAAGTAATTAGAAAACTTAAGGTAACGTAAAGAAACAGTATTAATGGCATTATTTGTCCCTATTTTCACAACAGATCTCGCTCAACCTCCCGATTAATATTGTGAGTTCGCATTTAAATCAGCCAATTTTAGGAGACATCATTAACGAAACAATTCAAAGAAATGTGTAAAGATTATTGCCCCCGCAGGGATTTCGCCCGGAAGGTGAAATCCCAAGGCTGCACTTTAGTAACTAGCGCGTATATTAAGGACAGTACCTACAGCTGAAATATGCAGTCGCGGTATGCCGGAAAAAAATTTCGATTTGCTTGAACAGCGGCCGCATGGAATCGTTGGGTAATGATGAAGTTTCTATTGTCCGCGCCCGCAAGTAAGAGATGATTATGATGACGTAAAACAGAAAATCCCGTAAGGGACCGCTTAGGTAGATTTTGTGACATTTATTGTACTCTTTTGCGCTAGTGTTTTCAGTGACATTCTGAGGAGCAGCTGTTTTGAAAGTTAGGCACTTGTCACTGCCCCCACCCCCTAGGGGCTGGTAGGTCATCTAAGCGCTTGCAAATCCCCAAGTGCATTATGGACCAAAAGACACTCGTTAAGGGCAGATGAAGTTATAAGGTTCGTATAACCGTGTACGTATAGACGCTTGGAGAGTTTGCCAGACACGAGTTCACCAATCTTTGATTGGAAACAATTTGCCAGACACTCTTCCTCTCTTTCTGGGGGAATAAGACTCTCAGTCCACAAACAAGCAAGACGAGTGAATCAACTGCTAGCTTGTCACTAGCATGCAGAACGATGCAGTGAAGATGGACAATTAAAGAAATTCGCCGACAATTAAACTGCGCCGACTTATTCCCTGCTCACAGGGGTCCTTCTATAAAGTTTAAAAACGGACTAGACCGCGCCAGCGTGAATTGACCAAACCTAGCTTTGAATTTTTAGGGCTTAATTTCTGCAAATAAAATGAACCGTACGTAAAAAGTGAAAGACAAATAGCGAAAAAATCCAACTACTAATTAAATCTTTTCTTATGGTAAACTATTCTCGTAACTGAGATGTTTTGATCAAAGCTGTGTAAATCGAACTGAATCAGTGAATGGAACCTTGCGTTTCCTGTTTTTATCTCACCTATTGTGTGGAACATGTGTGAAAATCTATATTATAATAGGTATATTTCAAAGAGCACAGCGAACACAACGACCAAGAATACTATTTACCGACAATGTACAGAGCGGGGGCAGCTGTAGTGTCAACTATTACTAGTTTTTATCATTTGCTGGACGCCCCTTGTTTTTGCTTAATAATATGCAATTTTGATTAGTTAACTGATTTGAAATAAGTCTGAATCTATACAGTCGGATCGTTACAGGTGTTAATTCTAGCTTTTTAATTTCAGCCTTAAATTTTGGGTTTTTTTAGGTGGCAGATTCATTTCCACACGGACAATAATTAAAGAAATTGAAAACCCATTCTGTGTTCATCGAACCTAACGACAAATAAAATGTCCGTTCTATGCCATCTCTAAAGATCTCTTTTCCGTCATTTCTGGGATTTTTCCCGCCATCCAATGTTTTAACTTAGTCTTTTTCATCCCTCGTTATTTCCGTCATCAAAATTCCGTCATTATCCCCAATTTTAATTTTAGGAATTAAATTTTATAAGTTTAATGCCTGTCATTTCCTTTCTGTCGTTTGCGACGTAAATTCAGACAGATTAATGTTTCTCATTATTTTTCATCAAATTTAAAAAGCTCAAAAAAAATCTATTCTATAAAACGGAATGAACCTGGCCAAAAAATAAACGAATTATGACTTCAGCCTCTTTCGGGGCCTCGGGGGGAAAGACCGGAGAAATGACGGGAAAGAGTACTAGAAGGGACATTTTGTATGTAGTCACACATTCAATCTTTTTCATTACATTGAGAAAAATCCTCCTTTTTGACATCACTCCTGTCAGTCGGAGAGAACAAAAATCAATTTCTAGTCAGTGTACAAAAAAAATAAAATTGAAATTAAAAAATTTATTTTTTTAATAAACAGATATGCCATCGCGAAAAAAAAAATCTTAAAATACTATGAAGAAATTGAGAAAATGAGCAAGATTATTATTCCAATTACATTGATTTATTGGAAGAAACGAAAAGAGATTATAATGAAGAGACATACGGTTATTATTCATGTGATGAAGGTTTAATAAATATATTAATGAAGGAAAAATATTTGAAAAAATTGAAAATGAAAAAAAATATGGATTTAAATTTTCAAATGATGAAATATTTCATGAAGAGAAAATGTTTTGCTTTGGTTTAGAAGGTAAATGTAATAGGAAAAGAAGAAATACGTTTCTTTGGTTTAGAAGAAATTGCTAAAAATATGGTCGTGCGGGAGAATTAAGTCATCTAAAAAAATACTTGGAAGAAAATGACGAAAACAAATCTGTTGAACCTTTATCATTACAAGAAAAACGTAGGAGAGATTTAATCAAGAGTGTTAAACCATTATTAAAACCATATTTTTATAATAGTATGAGAAATACTGTTTTACTTTATTATTGCCTTGAGTCTTTTCGATTTAAGGTTCTTTTATGCCGATTTTAACAACTTTTATCTAAATAGTATAAAAAAATTAACAACGACAACAAAGAGAATGTAAAACTTGTAGTTAATGATGACAGCGATGAAAGCAAAGATGAACCCAAAACAAGCAAAAATATTCTAGAGGGTCAAGAAGATTCAAATTAAAGCAAAGAAACTCAAGGCAAATCGTTCAAATATTCTATTAAGTTATTAATATTCTATTAAGTTTGTTGTAGAGTTAAAAGAAAGTGGTAATAAGTTCATTCCGGTAATCCCAAGTAAGAGGACTATTTAATATACAAAGATGAGGAAAGACGAAAGAAATGTCGGCTACAGCAAAGAAAATAAGAAACAGAGCGGGTGAACTTACTTATAACAATCCTGAATCAGCTAACTATTGGATTGTAAATTCGCTTTGGAATTGAAAAATTTATCATTTAAGGAAATGACTTTTTGAAATATAGTGCTAAAAAAAAATATTTGTCCTCGAAAAAAGGTATAATTATGTTCATCCTGATCCAATTCACACAAACTATGCAGACCTTGAATATCAAAAAGCGAAAGTCTTCAATCAAGATTATTGAATTGTTGATATCAGTGAATAACAGTGTGGGATTCGAAAGCTAAAAAAATCTATCTTTTTCAGCCCATAGGTTTATTTGGCACGTAATTCCAAATGATATGGAGTTTGACCACATCAACAACTGTAAGACAGACAATCATGTAAATAACCTTAAAACTTCTCACACGAAAGGAAAATAATAAGAAATCGCACAATAAATCAATAATTTCAATAAATGTTGAAACAAATGAAAAAAAAGACTTATATTAGTATTACTCCTCCTTCAGTTGAATTAAAAATATGTACTTCAAACATGATATTTCAGACATATGCAGAAAAAAGAAAAGTCATAAAACAGCAACATCAAAAAAAGACGGAAACAAATACACATTTGAGTACGTCAATAAAAAAATTACAGCTTCAAAAAATAACATATTAATATTACAATAAAAGATGCACCTCACAAAAGTAGTGCAAAAGAATTTAAAGTAAAGGAAAGTAAGTTTAGATATCAAAGAATCAAAATCAAAACCAAGGATCCAAAAGGAAAAAAAGGACCGCTTTTAATCGAGACTTCATTTTATTTTCGGTTGATGTCAACGAGAAAAAGAATCAGGAATCAGATAAACTCGTTGGTTATTCAGTTCCTGTTCTCTTGCTTGTGGGAAACAAGATTCAGATCCAAATCAAAAGGAAAAAGCATTTTTTGATACAATAAATAACATTACAAATATGAATATGGTCCTTATCTTGCATGACATTTAAATTCACCATTGTATTACAAACAGATAGAATATTATGATAAAAAGGGAAATAAGAAAACGAAAAAGGATGAATCATCAGCACCAATCCATTACGCAAAACTTACTTACTCAGAAAAATCTAATAATCAAAATACTTTGATTGGTTTCAACAAAAGGAAATAAATCAGTAGATCCGTTTGATTACCTAAATCAGTACAGTTGCAAGGTTAAAATGGCCTTGATTATTGAAAGTATATTCATCAGTAAAACTGTTGTTTCACTTCACATCAAAGTTCATAAGGTTTATGTTAAACCTCTTAAACCAAGACGAGCTATTAAAGAAAGTATTGTTATTCTGAGTCAGGTAAACATTATCCACATCCGATTTTTCATTGTCTTATTCCATCTCTTACCAACACTTGATTTTTCTTCTTTCTCAGTGTGACATAACTTGATACCTTTACTCTCAAGAACTCTTTGAAATGATTGCTAATAAACTCAGAGTCTTTATCGGACCAAATCATTTTAGGTTTTCGTTTACTTGTTTTAAATATCTCACCAAAGGCTTTACTAACACTTTCAGTCTTTTTGTCCTTCAGAGGTTTAATCCAACCATATTTACTGAAAACATCGATAACCGTCAGTAAATACTTTACCTTATCATTCCATTTACTACACTTTAATTTGCAATTTCAACTAAATAATCCGCCCAGATTTCATCAGTCCCATTTGATATAACAGATCTCTTTGCAAAGTTTCTTGTGACTGGTTTATGTAATTCATCTGCTAATTTTTGAGCCCAATCACTATTACTCAAAGCCGTTATTTGTCTTCTTTACTCGAAGTCTAAGTTTTTGTTTTGTATTTAGCCTGCGTAGCAGGCGCTTGGAAGTAGCGGGCGAAAGAGAGAACAGGCACGCGCGAGGGAGACACGCAAGGGGTGAGGGAGCGCCTGCACGGAAGGCCCCCGAAAATCGTTTCAACTCGCACTCTGTGAGTGCGGATATTTCCAATTGGTCGAGAGGCTCCCGAGGGAAAAATTAACCGCGCGGGGCGAGAAAACTGTCAATCAATAGTACATGGACAACGTAGAGAAGATCTTGCATTACACCACTGGGTCCTGAAACCACTAAATTGTATACAATCGAAGTTCAGGTCTCGGAGGTCACTCATTTAAAGCTGTGTGTTAACCATCAGTTTATTGCTCCATCGCTCTATAATCATCTTTATAACAGATATATTTAGACCGAAGATAAAATGTACAACGCTTTTTGGCGGCTTGCTTTGTTTGTGCGAGGTCAGTCGTTTTCTGTCAAAAATTTTGACAGATCACATAACGGCTGCCAAGTAATTAGAGAGGGGGCGGGAAACGATTTTCGGGGGGCCTTCCGTGCAGGCGCTTCCTCTCCCCTCGCGTGTCTCCTTCTCGCGCGCCCGTTTTTTCTTGTGCCCACTACTTCCAAGCGCCTGCTACGCAGGCTATTTTGTATTATTCAGAAATCGTGCTGTTTGACCCCATTTTGGCATTTCACCATAAGGAATCTGATCCAGTGATTTAACCATTTGTTTATCAAAATGACCTTGTCATGGTATGCAGCAATCTCATCAACTTTGTTATATGGTTGAACTTTCCATTTCAAAGCCCCACCTGTTTCAGAATCAGATTCCAGTTGTTCATCTAGTGGATGGACCCATGTATTTAATATGATCCCCGCGTAAATCCAGCTTTGGATCTCGAGAGTTTTCCAATCATTTTATGAATATCAATTACTCCGCCATCCAAATACTTTCTACCAGTTTTCTATTTCTTTCTTGGTCTAATCTTTGTTGATAACTGATCCGAAGCTTGACATCCAACATTTTGAATTATACCAAAATCAGTTGGTTTTTTTTGCATATTTTTATTTCTCACTAATTCACTTGCCCTATATCTCAGGGTTTATCGAATAATTGTTTTTACAAGTGTAATTTACAAGTGTAATTTACAAGTGTAGCTTTTGTTTTCAGACTCTGAAACAATGGCTATACTTGTAAATTACAGGTGTAATAGTTTTATTAAATTGACCCCTACTCATCTCAACTGCTTTTTCTCCCATAAAAGGTAAACCACGAGTAACAAACATATCCGGCAATGCAGACCCTGCTCTAGTATCTACTTCGCCACGGGCTGATAAGTTTCCCTTTTTCATTACAAATCTGTATTTTTTAATTCCACAAGAAGCACAAGTGCAACAAAACATTAATCTTCCATTTTTTACTGTTTTATATCCACTTGCATGGTTCAATACATTTAGTTAGTTTGTTTTTTTTTCTTTTAGCACAGTATGTTGTTTCCATTTTATTTATAAGCTTAAATACTACTTTACAGCAAATGATTGTTATAAAAATCTTATTGAAATACCTCACAACGAACTGTTCATTATTAATTTGATTATTGAAATCAAAGTTGGCATTATCATTATCGCGGCCTGTCTACCGGGGGTGCGGCCCATCTCCACATGAAACAGCTAGAATATCTCAAGAACGTCCTGAAGACTTTTTTTAAGACCAAATATAATTTTTCACGAGAGATTTTTCAAAGTGAACATGATAATAACACCGGCAAAATTGCCCGAAAATTGACACTAGCATCAAAAGAAAAATCTTGCTTTCTCTAACATTTCAAATCCATTGTTCATCACCTTATGCACAAGCCTTCTAACGTTTCTTCTTCGTTGTTGTGTTACAAAAAGGCGAGAAAAGGCTGCTGGAAAAACGCGAAACACGACAGATTTCCACGCCAATTCTAATCCACTCGAGGATATTTCTAACCCGCCATGCTGTGACGTCATACTATTGTTTCGCACATTTCCAAAAGTGGAAAAGCTTTAGACAGGTGTATCGCGTCATAAATTCTTGGCCAATGGCCAATGGGGACACCTAACATTAATTTAGAAGTATTTTTTGATGACGTTAAATGCTTCCTCTGCCTTGCTCTTAACTTGCTCACCAGGAATAGAACGATTGTCGATCGGAGTGTTAACAAACTCGAGAATTGTTGACTGGTAACTTCCAAGAAGGGGGTCATTATCTTCGTCGACTGAATGTGCATAGTATACTCGATCCAGCCTGAAAGATAACAAGCGAATAAAAGCATTTTAATGGCGCCCGGTAATTACGCGTTGTTGGGGTGAGCTAAAAAGCTTAAGCGCTCAAAGTGTTAGTGAGGTCGGTGCGTACTAGTCATGTGTGCAATTTTTCATGATCTGCCAGGGCGGGGTGGAACCGGTTTCTTTTTCACAGGAGATTCGTAAATTGTCTACTAAAACATTGTGAAATATGGAAGCAAGGCCAATTTAAGCACTAAAAGCTGCTCCGATATCTCTTACTATAGTGTACGCTCCGATAGCGTCTTGTTTGTTTAGTATATCAAGGAGTATTCAACCATTTTCCCAAAATTCCCGATTATTTCAGAAGATTTCCGAAGACAACCGAAGATTCACGAAAACTGGCGAAGAATCATGTCTGCAGACTACCCAAGATGTCCAAAGGAGAAATCCGAAAATTTGTGAATTTTTTTTTCGTCGTTATATTCACATGTGAAGGAAAACTTTTTTACATTGTGACAGATACGAATTTTTTCTGTGACAGAAATCCTTGTAATTCACTCTAACTAGTGTAATAACAGGACCAAAGGATCGCGGATACCTAATATGAGATTGGTCCCCAGGTTTCCCAGAACACTTTTGCGCATGGGTTGAAAAAAAAGAGGTCCCCTTTTAGCACAGGCTCAAAGTTGATGAGTGATTTTATTACCGATTTTCCAAGCGCAGATAGGTATTGAGAATGCTTAAAGACTAGAAGTTTTTCATGATAAACCCTCCAAACACTTAACAGTATTTTCTCCGGAAACAGTAAAAATTAAGAAATTGACCAATTTAACAGCGAACACTACGAATTATGGGCAAATATAACCAAACACTAAACTCCTTTCAGACCCTCACGCAAGCAACTACCTACAACTAGTGCAGGGACACACAGGTCTTAAACATTCCTTCAGAACTATAAAAATCATGGCTAAGATTAAGGCAGGTGGTCGCTGTGTAGACTACCTCATTGGTACTTAATTTCGCGTTTTTAGCGATTGTAAAAAAATCGCGAAATTAAACTCTTATAGAAAATTCAAATCACAGAAAAAAATATTAACTTGTAATAGCAACGACATATACATGATATGTATTGACAATATAACTAGTTAACTCGTTTTACACACTGGTAAGCTCTGTTCTGTATCTTCAGTATGTAGGTGAAATAATGTTAATTTGTGAAGCTTTCACACATTGTTTTCCCAATCTACCTAGAAATTTGAAACTTTCAGACTCTTTTAAAAAATAAAAGGAAGTTGAGAACGCCAAAATCACGAAATGAGGTATTAGAGAATAACCTGCTCCACCAGATCGTTGCAGTACACATTGGACAAGGTTCACAGCTTGTAAATAGGATGCATCCCTGTAGTTCTGGAGTCCTCAGGGCCTTTCCAGCATTTCTTATAGCCACCACTTCTGCATGTGCACTGGGATCAAAATCTTCAAACTTACGATTATAGCCTTCAGCTGAAAAATATTTGTTACATACGACATCACGATATTTAGTTTTTCGTTGCCATTTATAATAAAGTACATCAGCGCATTTTGATAGAACCATAACTTGAAGGGGAAGCATTCATTCATATAAGACCGAATCGGATCCCTGGCAACAAACGTTTAAAATGGTTTCCAAAATACAGAACAAAACAAAACAACATCGGCTCCCACCAACCACACCTAAACCGAGCTTAATCTATCGCAATAACCATCCACCCTTCCTCCTCAACTGCTACCTGTACGCCTTACAAACATATCGAACGCACTCTTCAAAGCTCCGATTACTCCTAGTATTATTGTTATATTGGCATTATTGACATATTGTCCTTAGGCTATTGTTCTGTAGTAAGCTAAGGCTTAACTTAACGTGGTCTGCAGAAACTAACTGGTTTTAGTATAATCCAACTATTAATTTCATCGACCTTCAGAGTAGCCAAGCGGGTACAAAGGGTTCAATAAACGTTTAAACATATGATAAAGCAGACTGACTGGTATTTCATAGCTTGGATGCAAACGTGCCCGAAGTCACGCACTGCTTCTCACGAAACGGTGTCGACTCTACTCTACGCCCCCAAGAAACCACAACTGCTCAGCTGCGAAGACATTCTTGTTTTCCTGATCGCTTATTAATTCTAAATGAAGACAGAATACTTTCAAACGATTAGAAAAAGGGATTTTGCAGAAATTCTAGAAAATTTTGTGACCGCGGGGCATTTTTAAGACCCTTCAAAATAGCTCAAAAAGGCCATTTTCAATGTCAATACTAACCAACAATCTTTCCCTCTTTGACAACTACCGATCCAAACGGTCCACCGCATCCTTTAGCTGCTCCTTCCTCACTAAGTTCGATGGCACGAGCCATAAATTTCTCTTTTTCATCTTCTGAAGGAATGTAGGACGACATCCTAGATTTGCGTGACAACGAGCAGAAGAGTTTTTGGAGGAGTCTGGGTCTAGTCTTGGTTTTGGAGCAATATGGCGGTCGCAAACATGTAGGATTCGCGTTTTCTAAAACATTTTGATGTCATCAGTTCTTCTATTCCGGTCGCCTTCTTTAACACCCAGGGAAGATGATTACCACAAGGTGAAAATAATAGTCGTGTAACTATAAAGTTATTCATCCAACAAAAGGAATAATGACCTCAATAATCTTTTGTAGCGGTTGAGCGAAGTCTGGTCTCAAGTCTAGCCGTTTAGATTCATTTAAAACTTTTTACCTGCAAGGCTATGCATTCACTGCCCTTCTATGATTCTTCCTTTCCTTTTTAATGTTTTTCCTGTTTTAAGACTTAACGAAAGGCAAATACGCTATTTAAAAAGTGTTTTATCAAGGGGTTACTACAATAGTATAGGCTATTAAAAATAATAAAGTAATAATAATAATGAGAATTAATAAGTAATGGTAACAGGACTGAGTGGAGTCCAATTCGGTCTGTAATCATACGAGTGATTAACAAAATCGGACGACCGCGTAGCGGGAGTCCGATTTGTTTAATCACGAGTATGATTACAGACTGAATTGGACGACACGAAGTTCTGTTACCAATTAATCATAACTTTAACAAAACTTGTGATACAATAGGCTATTTTTTAAACCAAAACGCAAGAAATTCGAAATTTTGCTTTGCTAGCAGTGAAAAAAAAATGCCATTTAAGCGCAGCGTGATGGCGCGTACTGTCCAATTACTTAGGCATGATGCGTACTGTCCTATTTGAACTGTCCAATTAAGGCTGAAATCAGGGCAGTTGAGAGCCAATCAGATTTGACAATTTTGTTATAGTTATGATTATAATAATAATAATAATAATAATATAAATAATAATAAAAGAATATGAAGCCACTTATGAGTATTGCTAGTCCATCTATCACTGGGTTACCTTTGGCGATATGTTGTAAACCCATAATCTTTTTACACAGCTGGGTGATCATAGAGACCATCAGTATTATAAAGCATAAAAAAACTTCAGCAAATCTTTTTCTTTTCTCTCAGGTCTTGTTGGATGCTGGTTTTAAGCCATTCTCTATCCCCGTACTGTCCTTCAAGTTTGAAAACCAGCAAGAACTTGTGCAAAAACTTGAAAAATCAGGGGATTATGGAGGTACTACATGACTTTCAAGTATGCCTGCAATAATAGGCCTATTTAGCAACAGAATGGGAAAGTCAGTTGACGACGGCCCACACAAATTAAACAACTGGCTGGACCAATCGCAGAGTGGCAAATTGGGCACCGGAAGTAGCATTTAGTCCTTTCCCTTGTGCCTTCCCGTCGTCAACTGACGTTCCCTTTCTGATGCTAAATCAGCCTATTATAATAGGCCCTTTGCAGCTAGCCATTCACGTGGTGCAAAACCTCCACGCTGGAGAGCAAAAGTCGCACTGGGACAAGACAAGCTAAAGACATACATAATCTGAAATCATAATTTTCTTTGGGGATCCTGTGCATGATTAAGATACTTGTACAAATACAGCAAAACAATGTTAGGATACCTGATTCTCTGTGGTGGGCAAAAATGAAGAACTGATACCACAGTGGAAAACCTTGGTAACAAGAAGTTGGAGATCTGCAGCCAAGGATCAAAAATTGCTGAATCAACCCGCATAAGTCCACATGAAGTTTTACAGTCGTGATTGATTAATACAGTCTATCAATTATTAGTGAAGAATATTAATGGGGAGGGGAGGGGGTTTGAATTAAAAGAGAGGGGGGCTTATTAACTTTCTTTCCCTGAAAGGCAGGGGGGGGGAGACTTACTAGGGATTTATGGTAGGTCACTGATGGCTCAGTGATTGATTTAACCCTGGTACTCTAAGTAGCTTTTTTACCCTTTGAATTTTATCACTGTGAATTTTAATATTAGTATTCAGGTTGACTGAACATAATGTTTTAGGCATGATTCTTACAAGCCAGCGTGCTGTTGAAGCCATAGAAAAATGTGTAACAGACATTATATCACAAGAAGGTCAGTGTAGGTTTTCTCACATTTTATTAAAATTAATATAATCATTATGGTCACACTTATATACTGAGTGATTCTATATTGACATTAAATTATTTCTAAATTATATCCTAGTTTGGAGAACCAAGATGGCCAAGATATGGCAACAAAAGTGCATTTTTGTGGTAGGAAAAGCTACAAGAAATGCAGGTAAATTTTCTAAGACTTAGTATGTCATTGAAGAAACTAAATGTTATTTTTCTGTCAGTAAAAGATTCTGGAAGATAATAAACAATAAAATAAGAATTCAGTGAAATGTGTGTTATAAAGAAAATTCCATGTATATATTGTGTGGAGTATTATTAAACAGATTATGAGTACAATGTTTAATATTTATAGTCCTTTATGCTTTTCTTCTCATTGATGAGACTGTAATTTTAATTTTTTTTAATTTGTACAGTCAAGTTTCATTTGTTAAGAAAGAACCCCAAAAATTCTTATCCCCTGCTAATAAAATGCATTGTCTAATTTTTTAAAACTAATTATTTGTACCAGGAGTTAGAGTTTATAATAATACTAGCACTGTTTTTTTTTTAAAGCCAGTGACAAGCTTGGACTTGAAAGTTCTGGTTTTGAGGCTGGTAGTGCAGAGTCTCTGGTTCCAATCATTCTTCAGGGTAAAAATTTAAGATTAATTTCTTGTAATGATATATATCAATATTAGTAATATTAATCAAAGGTTAGGGAGTGCGGGCGAGTATGTTTCAGGCTTCTGATCGAAGGTCAAAACACTCTTGCTCCAATGCTGGTGCTTTATGCAAGTTTCTTGTGATAGATGCTCAAAATGTGCATGATCAGATTACAAGTGACAGAAGGAACAAACGCGCGTGATCAGATTGGTTTCTGTACATTCCATTCATTCCTAGTGGGAGTCCAAATGAATGCTGCCTTTAATATAATTTTGCAACCTGGAGATAAGGATTGCTAGCTCCTCCTGTGACCCACAATTATTATCACAAACAATTAAAAACCTGTGTGCTATCCAAAATAATAATTATTATCAACACGACTTGTTAACACTCTACCCATGACAACCACTGTCTTCTGGGTCCACTGGTTATAAGGTTACCGAAGGGATACATACACGTACAGGCAAACCTTGTCGAAGTGTCTCTTCACTTTCTTTCCCTTGGAGTTTAGAGGGGAAGGGACAAAGGGAGAGCCTTGATGCAAGCTGGGGGGATAAACTATAGAAAGGCAACATTAACATACTTAGTTTTTGCTACCAATGTTTTTGAAGCTGTAGAGCCAGGCAGCAACCCACTGTTGTTTCCATGTGGTAACTTAAGAAGAGAGACAATACCAGTGGAGATGGCCAAAGCAGGTAAAGGTTTTGGCAACAATAATTTTTATAAGCCATAATTAAGTTGTCTCCATAAGCTATCAGAAACCACTAATTGTACAGTGTGGTATTAATAAATAGCTTTAGCCAGAGCTTAAAGCCAAACTCCCATCTGTGCATTTTAAATTTACTGCAGATAATGGACTTAAAATTATTAAAAAAAACCACAAATAATTATACTTTTGAGGGGAAAACCATATGACTGAAAGACATGAACTTGAGGCCATGATCAATTAAAAGCTAACAACTGATCAGCAGAAAACTTCAAAAAAACATGTGACCTTGATGAGTTGGCACCTGAGCCGACGATACGGTCATGTGACACTGGTCAGTGGATAACCTGTTTTAGTTGACACCTGTCAATTGACCATAACATGGATGTCTATTATCAGGTGGTGGTGTGGTGCAGTTGGACGGGTAGACGGGCATATGGTCACGTAATTAACAAAATTTCTTGGATGGATAGATTGTCAAATTTTCTTAAGTTAATGGGGCTCCACTCGTGCGCGCAGAGCCGTGCTATAAATGCTGTATGAATTTTCCCTTGTAACAGATTTTAGTCTGGTCAAAAAACCTGACAAAATCTTTGAAAAGGGCTATGTCAAGCTATTTGTATGTTATATCTTAAGTTTTTAAGAGGATAAAATGTACCTTCGCAGTGACAGAATTCCAAATTTTACCTACCTTGAACGTATTAGCAGTTTTTAAAAATGTGGTCAGTATACACCTAGTCAGTGTTTCACACCTAGTCTGCAGTCCTTGTTTTATACTGACCACAACACTAACCTTACATTAACCAATCCACATTGTATATCTAATAACCTTGCCTTGTCTTTGATTGTTATGAACAGGGATAGTACTTGATGGTGTGCAGGCATACACTACCTGTGCTGATCCAAAGATAAAGGAATCTTTGAAAGATTTTGTTATGGAAAAGGTATTACCAATAATCAAAGCCTGTATACCCAGAACATAAAAATTATCACAAGACCCAAAAAAGGGAAGTGCTCCACTACATGCAAGCTTAAAGGAGGGATAGTTTTCATGCAGGGAAATGGCTGGAGATGTCTGTAAGTAGGATGGAAGCTGGGAGGAGGAATGAGATCCCTCAAGTCACACCTTTTATCTTGCACCCAATATTTTTTTGTGCTTCCTCTACATGACAGGCTACAATATTGTAATCATACGTAAAATAATTTAGTAACTGACAGATAATTTTACATAACATTGTGCCTTTGGATACCGGGGCATAATTTATAAGCAAGTGAATGATGAAACTGATCCTGTACCCCAGAAAATGGGGCTTAAGCCTTATCAATTTCAATGCACTTTTCAACCCTTGTCAAGACTGATGCTGGTGGCTCACAAGACAGTGTCTTTATATCTAGGGATTTCCATCATACGCAGTGTTTTTCAGTCCCTCTGGAGTTACGTTTACAGAAGAAATTTTGTCAGGCTTGTCAGGATGGCACGAAAATGTCAAGGTAAAGTAGTGGCCTCTACTTCACTCTAGTTTGTGCAGGAATTGAAAATTATGATTTGTCATAATTTCAAATTTGTTGCACATGGAGTTGAAAGACTTCTAGGGGGTGTTATTATGTCCCCTTAAAAGTGCAGTATTTAGAAAGTCAGGGAACAGGGGCTGGCTGTGTCTGTGAAGCTGGAATGTTTTTAATTAAAGAACTCCGCAAAGACCAAACTGTAATTTCTTGGAATTGGAAGGTCAACATGCCCCAAGAAATTGTCACGTGAGAGATGGAGGGTAACAACACAATCCTACAAGTAAAAAAAGTAATTTATTTTTCAAATGAACACCTTGCTTCAAAATTACAGCTGCAGTAAACTTTAACTAGCTATTAGCCACATGGCAATTATTGATATGAACGTGAAGGGTCCAAAAGCAAATCATACAGTTGCACACCCCATAAGAAACCAACCAAAATGCAAGAATTGATGATCTTTCATGATGGGTTTCAGTGTATGGTGCTTTGACTGAGAAAATGATTTTCATTTCTTTTTTGGATATGCATACATGATCCACATGGAGGTGCAACAATGTCACTTATCAAGTAGCGGTATCTTTCTCTAGTGAATCTTTACACCCCAATATCTACACTCAAATTCTCTAAACTGATGTTCATACCTTTCCCTTAAGAAACAGTTGAGAGAATTTCATTAAAGATCAAAGAAGTTTCCCTTCAGTGATCATTTCATTAATTCCCATAACGAATTCTCTTGATATGCGCCAATATTGCTGGGAGAAAATTGATGTTAAAGGTACATCACTTTGTTCTATAGCTTGTTGCAATTGGAAAGACAACAGCTGAGGCAATGAAAAGTAAAAGTTGGAATGTGACAGCAGTGGCGGAGAAGCCGAGTCCACAAGCTTTAGCACAGTGCATTGCAAACAGCTCAAAAGCCATGGCATAAAGCCCAATGGCAGTGACGTAACAGTAACGTTGGGGAAAATCATTCATGCAACTAATGTCCTGTCTTCATACACCAGGCCCCAGTTGTTAAAAAGGTGGATAAAGTTATCCACTGGATAAATCCCTATCCAGTGAATAATGCAATTGGTTTCCCCGATATTTATCTGTTGGATAGTGCTATGCAACTTTTGAAGAACCGGGGCCAGCATTACTAGAGACCTTTAAATTCTAAGACGAGTACGACTACAAGTACGAGATTTTCTCAACACTAAGTAGTGCAAGCGCGTGAACCAGCGTCATTAGGGACTTTAAGAACTGACAACGCGGTGGTCTGGAAAACGCGAGGACCGAGAGTGGGGCTGGGGCGAGCACCGCGTACTAAGCGCGGGAAATATGTAGTTAAGATCAAGAACGCGATCATTTAGACTAGTCATCGTCTGCAAAACAGTAAAACGCTTTTCACCTTTCCCTACAAGAATGACTCAAAACTCATTTAAGACTTTACAGGAAGTTTTGCTCCTTAGTCTGGAAAAAAAGCTAATAGATGACGAAGAATTTGCCGTGCTGTATGAAGAATTCACTCCACAAAACCTTCCGTTTCGCCACTGGGATTACGAAAAATTTTCCCTCGAAAACAAAGACCCAGCAGAGTGTAAGGCAGACTTCAGATTTGAAAAGAGTGACATCTCATTGCTGGTGCATGTTTTACAGATGCCTGATACCTTCACATGTCCGAATGGTACCGTTTGTGATTCAACAGAAGGACTTTGTGTTATACTAAAGCGCTTTAGCTATCCATGTAGGTTGTCTGATATGATTTCTACTTTTGGTCGATCAGTACCCGAGCTCAGCATGATTAGTAATGAAGTCACTGAATGGATGTACAATGTTCATGGCCATAGGATTACCGAATGGAATCATTTCATTATGTCTCCTAACCTACTGCAAACGTACTCTGAAGCAATTCATGACAAAGGTGCCGCCTTGGAAAACTGTTTCGGCTTTGTTGATGGAACGGTTCGTCCCATATCAAAACCAGGAGTCAATCAGAGAGCTGTTTACAATGGCCACAAGCGCGTTCACGCCCTTAAATTTCAATCCTTGGCCCTACCAAATGGATTGATTGGCCATCTGTTTGGACCAGTAGGTAAGGGTATATTAATTCATTTTTTATGTTTTTACTTGGAGAGACATTTTTATCACTTATGTGAACTTAAAAGTTAGATTGATTTTTTTTTTTCATAATGTTAATCTGACGTTTCTTGATGACTCCCTCCTGGTCTCTCAAATCAGAGGTATTTTCAGTAGCTCCCACTTTCAATTGTTATTAGAGGAAATGGTTGTCCTGTCACCACAGACAAATAAATTATAAATAATTTTCTGACTTATAGGCCATAAGTACCTGGACTGTAAGAATAATAGCCAGCGAATCCTATGTTTTTTGCCTACTCAATTACTAAGGTAATCAATGGTCTATATAGGTAACAGTTTGTCAGTCAGCCAATGTGTGACTGATTGTGGTTCAAAATTAATTTTTTTGGCTCTTGTTCAGAGGGACGAATGCATGATGCGAGAATGCTGGACACATCTGGCCTCTATGTTGACCTGGCACAGTTCGCCTTTTCCCCTGCTGGACAGGAGATGTGTATCTACGGGGATCCGGCATATCCTCTACGTACCCATCTGCAGTGCCCCTTCAGAAATGGGGTGTTAACAAGACAAATGGAAGAGTTTAATGCATCTATGAGTTCTGTACGTACAAGTGTGGAATGGTTGTTTGGAGACCTTATAAATTATTTCAAGTTTCTCGATTACAAAAAGAATCTCAAAATTGGCCTTAGCCATGTAGGAAAAATGTACATTGTTTGTGCACTTTTGCGGAATGCTTTAACATGTCTCTACCGCAATACGACTGCTGACTACTTTGGCCTTGACCCACCATCACTAGTCGATTACTTTAGCTAAAATACTGTAAAAAAAACACCTGTCAATGCCTAAGTTTACATAAAATCTTGCATAAAATCCTGATTGAACAGTTCTTGTGTGTTATTTGCAGGGATTGTAACAACAAGCAGATCTAAACAAAGGGGTGGCAAATAATGCTCTGAGTTCAACATTTTGTAAAAATGTAAATCTTAAACGTATAAACATCTAGAAATAGAAATTTAACATCTACTTGTTAAGCATTTTACTCATGACGCCCATGACCTGCTGCATCATGAGCATTTGTTGCTGCTGGGACTGTTGCTGTTGTTGCTGAAACTGCTGCTGTTGCTGTTGATTTTGCAGTTGTTGCTGGTGCATTAGCTTCAGCATATCAGCCTGTTGTTGTTGGACTTTAAGTTGTTGTTCCTGTCTTCCCTTTTCCAGCTTTAGTTCCTTTTCTCTAATTTCTGCACTCTGCTGTGCTCTTTCCTTTAGAAACTCCATGGCATCTCCAGTTTTTCTTCTTGTTCGTTTTGGTTTGTCCTCACCCTCTTCGGCTTCCTCTCTCGCCCTTTTTTTGGTTTGGGAAAGCCTTTCCATAGGTTTCATTCTTACACCTTCTGCTTTAGCTTTGTCAGCTTTATCCTTACTACATGTATCTGTGGGAGCACTCTCTTCAAGTGCAATAATTTGCTGTATTAGCTCATCTAGTTCACTTGGCTCATCTGGGGATATTCCTGACGCTCTTTCTTCAGCTCTAATTTTTTTTTTGTACTTGTTTACCAAGACATTGATGTGGTCCCGGATGGCTCTCTGGTCAACGTTAAATTGCGGAGAAGCACATTTGTTTAGAACATCTACAATTTTCTTCCAAGTTTCACTGCGCTGGGGAGACCCCTTTTGTATAAGTAGGGATTTTCAAACACTACTTCTCTGCACAGTATAATATTGTGCTGTTCAGTCCAGTACATAACATTGCTGTGTGAAAACAAAAACAAAGAGAATATTAGAATAAAATTCACTCCAAAAAAACCCTTTCTTTTGAATTGAAACTAAATGCTGTTGTCAATCTTACAGCTAATTTTATGCTTGTTCAAAAAAGTGAGATTTTTTCTTTAATGACGTTTAAAGCTCACAAATTTAAAAAGCGGCCTTGCTGAGGGAAAGAGACCTCACCCATAACTTACACTTTTACGAATAACAGCAGTGGAATAATGCATTCAAAGCCTAACGTTGATAATTTAAAAGATTCACATTATCAAAACTTCAAATGAGATAGGCAACATCATCTAACTTCAAATACAATCTCTCTTTAGTTCTAATTTTTCTTGGTTTGTTTTCGCTTCAGAGTATTATCTAAAACATGGCTCATTAGTAACAATTTCAAAGAAATAAATAAATGGACATAACACAATAGCAGAAATGTCAGAGTCTTAGCTTTTGAAATGCTACGCTTTATGACAGTAGTCAAGGTAATGAACTTATGTTTCCTCTTATAGTGGGCGATTTTTGAAAGTTAGCTTTAGTAAGCTTTCTTTAGTTGAGTTTTAATCACACTCAATATCAGGAAACGCAATTTCAGATCATCATGAAATATCAAGCCTGGATCTAGTAGAGACTCAACTAGAAAAACGGAATAGTCTTAGCTAAATTATTTATGAAGCTAAAATCGGTCATCAGTTGATGGAACAACCGATAAAGTTTTATTCTGATATTTCACATCGGAGCTCGTTGGATTAGTCAAAAACAGAAAGAAGACCAAGTAGAATGCTAGGACGCCTGACAACTAAATTGTATCAAGCATGAGAATAGCCGCATGAATGTAGTGATAATTTCCCTCGACTGTGAAGGAAAATGAGATTTTGGGAAACATTTCAAGGATAATTAGATGACTTACTTTGAAGATCTGCTCGACGCCATGTGCTTGCTCACCTGGAGGGAACAAAACGTTTTAAACTATTCAACTTTGGTCCTTTTCGTTTCAAAAATGATGCCTAACCTTTGAAGAAGCAATAAATTTTAAATTCCAATTGACAGAATAGTTGTGATAGACTGGTAATTATAGTGATTTGCTTTAAGTAACAAGGCTAAATACTCACGTTTTCCAGACGACGCCAAATCTCTTCAGGCCGCGTTCTCGAGAGCGGGAGAAAACGCTAAGCGCATGCGCTCTTCATCCGAAACTGGAAAAGTCACTTCCGGTCGCGTCTCCTACTCACCGCGTCCTGGGTTCTTAAAGTCCCTATTTTGGCGGGAAAACGCGGTAGCCGTCGTCATTCTACTACGAGTTTTAGCGCGAATGTCGTGGTGGCGAAAACAAGTTATCAAATGTTAGAAGTTTTATCATTTTGCGATGGGGAAAGCGCGTAACCTCCTTCACTTAAGGTAACAGTGCTAACTTTTCTAGTGAAAAACGGTAAAATGAAGCTTTTCGGGAAGTCTATATTTTGAGAATACGCGAAAAAACTTCAAGTCAAATCTCGTACTCGTAGTCATTCTCGTCCTCGAATCTAAAGGTCTCTACTAACAAAAAGCACTGTCAGGCCAGCTGTGTTCTATAAGTACACTTTTGCCTTGGGTAACTTGAAAGTCCAACTACAAAAGCACTTCCAAAGTGTTTTTTTCATTCTCCAAAAGACCACACTTGGAGGCCCAGGGGCAGTTTAAAGTCATAGTGTGAGTATGATAAAATTACACCCAAAATAAGCTGTACATGTATGCACAAAATAAGCACCAAGTATCAATAATTGTTTTTGAGCCACCTCAAGTTTGGTAACTACAATTAAATTCAAGAAAAATTTTATTTTGTTCCTTGAACACAAGAAATGTTTTAAAATAAGTAGGAGATACTGAAACTATGTTAATAAAATTATTTCAACTGCTGAATAGCTTTAATTTTTTACTGTCAAAGGGTATTTTAATCATTGTTCAAAAAACAATTGGTCAACCTAACGTAGATAATAGAAGTTAATAGTGCAATTTACCTATGAGGAAAATACTAGATACAAGTGAAATTAGATACCAACTGTGTCAGTATTATAATGCCTGTCTTAGCTCAGATGAGAAGACATCTCATATCCTATTTGTATGGGATGCTTGCGTCTTACTTACATGATTATCATGTCATTATAATCATTTTAGGTTTTGCCAGTACATAAAATTACGGTATCTTGAAACAGTTTGTGGTGTGCTTTTGTTTACATACCAGTAGCCTATAGCTATTTACAACACTAAACTCTCCACAAAGATGGTTATCTACATCAGAAAGCTATGGAGCATTTTGATATAAAATTATCAAGGTGTGTGTAGAAACCTGACATTGCTGAGTACTGCACATGTAAGAACATTTAAGCATGCGAAAGTACAATGAACCAATGGTATGGCTGTTAACTGTTTTTGTCTTTTGACTTTGGAACTTGTAAGTTCTTTGAGCAGTAGAGAGGAATAACATCCATTCAGCAGCTATCCATGGGTTGGTTAGCTTTATCTGTTCTTCTGCAGTCTGTCAAGGATTCTTTCCAATACACGCTTGGCCTCACACATCGGGAAATTTCTCATGTCGTAGTACTGAGGTGCAATCTTCACCAGCCTGCCATATTATAGAGAAGAATAATCACTAAAAATAGCATTTTCAAAAACGCTGAGCACGACTCTCTAGTACAACTACAAAGGACATGCTGGAAATCAAGTTTTTTTTTTTTCAGCCCTTTGGTCTTTGGTCACCATTATTATTGCAGGTATTTTACAGTGTATAATATATTTTACAACCATTACTCACCAATCAGCCTTGATGTCAGTGCAGGTTCGAATGTAGTTCTTCGTGGTCAAGACAAACTCATTGTACAGCACCCACTCAGGCTTGTGATCCAAACAAGTAGACGGATGCAGTTGTACAACCTAAAAAACCAATTGATCAGCATTTTGAATAAAAAACAGAATTAACATCTTCTTTTATTCAATCAAAATATTTCCCCAACTCTGATTGGCTAAAAGCACTCGCATAATTCATCATAACCAGTTACTGATGACCAAATTTGGAAGAATTTTGCGTTTAACGAGGAAATGACGTCAAAAATGCATCAGCTGGGGGACGAGGACGAGTTGGCGGACACTTCACTCGTTTCACGAGTAAGAACTACAGCTGGAAATAGGCAAAATAATAGCTAAAAACATAGCAAAAACAGCAAGAAGACAACTTGGAGGGCGACATCTGCTGGTATTTGGAGAATATTTGTGGAGCTGGACAAACCTAAACGTACACTATGTAAGAGGTTATTAACAATAGCCAAATTAGAATTTACAATTTATTTTAGTGTCCACATCCGCTTAATAGAGGTTTGTTATAAAGGGAAATATAAGACATTAATTTCGGGACCTGGCTTAGTGTCTGCTTAATAGAGGTTTCACTGTATCATTTCACTCATACTCATTATCATTATCGTGAGTGCCTCTTTTACTAACCTGGTTGTCTTTGACTGTAAGGTAGTGTCCAGACCTCTCCAAATGAGCTACCTACTCATCAGAACAGTAAGTGGCAGGGAGGGTGGGGTGGGAGATTGAGGATTCACAGATTTTATGGTCAGTATCTAAGACACTTCAAATAAAATTACTCAATCAGTCAGGGGAACAGCTCTATGCACCCAGAATTGACGATTTTTAGAGCCAGCAAATCTTATTCTTGATGGGCATAATTATATAAGGCAAAGGCAGATGACATTAACTTTGTTTTGCGCATCAACAGGAGTAGTGTAAATCCACATAATTTTATTATTTTTAACAGACTAAATCCAAGATCCTCTTCCACTTTTTTTAACTCAAAAAAAGACAAGCAACTTTTGCTAGCTGAAACTGTGGATTCAGTCAATTCTGGGGGATCACTGAACATTCCCCTCACTGATGACTACTTACTTTTAGGGTAAAAGGTAAAACAAACTGTCAAGACCCATGTTTGGAACACTTGGTGATTTTTATGAGTACAAACCGTTTCCTCAGTATTCAAAGCATGAGCACGACACTGTGCTACACCTTGAACCACAAGGAGGCAACACAGTGGATATTTAGTATAAATTATCCATTTCCCCCTGGCCTGAAAGTACAGTTTTCCCACCTTGAAATGTGTTAAGTGGCATTTTAATTTAAAGGGGTGCCTTTGATAAACAATTTGATTGTCCTTTTAAGTTGCATTGTGTTTCCTTGAGAAGCAAAATGAGAAACTTTCATTCAGGCCTTTTGCCAAGCAACTCTTCACTTGAAAGGGGTGTATATGAAGCCAACCACATGAAACATGAAACAACTACACATAATTATTCCCACTACCCCACCACCTGGGCAGGATGTTATGCTTTGCCAGGCCGGGATGCACCAGCTCACATAATGTAATGCAAAACGTCTTGCCTAACCCTTTTTGTTAGAGTCTTAAACAAAGACAGTTGTTACATACACACATAGGAGAGAATTTAATACCAGGTACAAAGATTAAAAGAACAGACCTTATAAAAAAAAGCATTCAGCATGAAAACTAAAAAAAAGTTCTGTTTTCAACTGTACTAGTAGAAGGCAGTCAATTTTACAACCTTTCACAATGAGGAACTTCAGAAGACCAGCAGTTTAAATGTTTTTTTTTTTCATGATTGCTTGTCTGGCACCCAGGACAAAAGGGCTCATTAGAAGAAAGAGTACTATTGAGTAATGATAATAATAAGCTGCCATTTAGGTTGGTCTATGTATTAGTGCATCCCTTTAACAGGGGAAAGAGTCCACAACTGATAAGAGCTGAGGTCATTCTCAATAAGGTCTGTAAGTTCTTACGATACCTGCATAAAAAATCCAGCCACAAGTGCTTTCCTGATGTTCAGATAATAGTCGCGACTGTTGAAGTCAGTGCTGCGACGTGCCAGGTTGAACCTGTCCATGATTCTGGCAAGTTGCTGCCTCACATTGTCAGCTGACTTGAGTGATCGATGCTGAATAAAGTTGTCATAACACCACTGTACGTCTTCATGGTCTATGTAACAATGAAAATTACAGTAACATACCACAATAGAATTAATACAGGTTAAGTTACCGTCAATTCTCTCTAAGAGAGACAACTCTGGAACCTGTACCATGTGCCCGTCTAAGAGTTATGTATGTCTTACAGAGAATCAAATAAAGGGAGTAAAGAAAGGCAGGCACCAACTCTCAGTGTCCGTTTTACAGAGGTGTCCATTAAGAGAGAGTCGACAGTAAACTTTACTGCAGTCTGGCAAAAATTCAGTTTAGATTTGCCAAAGGTGACTTACTCTGTTTATAGGCATGATAGACATTCAACAAGGTCAGATGGTCACCATCGATGTGAGCAAACTTCATTTTTGCTTCGTCTGCAGCCTTCTTTGCTTCATTTGGTCTCAAAAAGACTTGAGGAACTGAAAACAAAGTCATGATTTTTATGTTCAGGGTACAGTTATTGCTAATTCAAATAAAATAAACGATATCAAGAACCTTAAACTATGTTGCAACAAAATCTTTGGTGCAACTGCATGTTCCCATGGGCCAGTTTGGGAATCATTAAAATAAAATTCATACTTGTTTCCGAGATGAAGGGAACAAAACAAACTGAATGGCATTTTGATTCGCAGATGAATAATTTACTTCTCTTGTGTAAATTTGCTTCAGCCTCAAGGTCAAGTATGAATTTTAATGATTCAAAATTTGCATAATTATTCTAATTCCAGAAACGATTCACAAACGAGAAACAAAGGAAATCACTTGACATGAGTGAAAGAAGTTTGGAATGCAGATCTTAAATATCATGAACATTTTACAGTTTTTTTTTAATCTCTTAAAAATACATTAATTCATGTGAGACCCTTGATACATGCTGTATCTGATATCCGTACACCTAGAAGTGAAAAAAAGCTGCAGTTCAATTTCACAACTCACTGCTGGTGTTTGAAAATAGGATGAGAACAGTGTGTCTCACCTGAGAGCATAGCTGTAATGGACAGGATTTCATTGGAACAGTTATGATCGCAGCTTGCCATCACCATCTTAGCAAGCTGAGGATCCAAAGGAAACTCGGCCATCATGGATCCCAAGGGAGTCAGGTCACCATTGTCATCAAGAGCACCCAGGTAATTTAACAGTTCAAGGGCTCTCATTAATGTCTCAGGAGCTAAAAAAGGACAAATACATGTAAGTATACTCCTGGATCATAGAAAACAGCTGTAGATAGTGTGCTGACATGCCACACAACAACAAGCTGTATGACTGCTTTGATAACTTGTGCAGAAGTCATATAATAATATTCAGTTATATATTACAACATGACATACCAGGGGGATCCATGAAGTCAAAATGCACCAAATCATCGATGCCAAGCTTCTTGAGCTGCAACACCACTGTACCAAGGTTAGACCTCAAGATTTCAGGATAGGTGTTGTCTTGCATTTCACTCTGATAAGCTTTCTCAGTATACAGCCTGAAACATTTGCCAGGACGAGTACGGCCAGCACGACCTGCTCTTTGCTGGGAACTGGCTTTAGAGATGGCTGACACCAACAGAGATTCAACCCGGATGCGAGGATTATACACCTGTTGGTACAACAAGTACACAATAATAACCACCATAAATCATTACCACATTATAATATGAGAAAGTCATGTCTGATAGCCTAGAACTGGAGGATTTTGCAATTGGGCTAGCCAGTTCTGATGTTAACTTGCTTGAAGGGCAAGTGAAGTCTTGGGAGAATTGAAATTACAAGAGTACTGTAAGACTTCTAAATTGTTATTGTTTCTAATTATTACTTATAATTAATCAGCTGGATTGAAAGCTGTTTTTCAAGCTGATCTGATGAAGTGAAGTTATTTCATTTATTAATATGATGAAAACAAAGCAGGTTATCAGTTAATCATTGGACAGGTGTAATAAGTTAATCAACCATAACCTTTTTTCAGGATGGTTTAAGTGACTCTCAGGCTAGTACATACTAAAACCTTGGACAAAACCTGTTGATACACATTACAAAATTACCTTTTTTTCGTACTCATCCTCACAAAAATGCTTACTGTTGCAAATTGAAAGCCCGTTTCCCCCTCCCCTATTCCAGTGTTGTTTGCGGTAACACAAGATAAAAAATGCACATGTGAGCTGTTAGGCCGAAACAACTTTGAACAGGGGCGGGGAGGGGGGCGACTTTGCTCTGTTGAGAGATTGTTGCATGGCAAGAAATTAAAAATACTTAGAAATGTCTCAACAGGTTTGTCTGGGGTTGCAGCTACAGAGGGGCAAGCTTTAAAACTGACTTTCTTTGCATTTTGTACGACACTTTGTGCATATTTGACAAACCTTCTGTTTGGAAAATCCAGGATCAATAACAAACACTACACCATCAATAGTGAGGGATGTCTCAGCAATGTTAGTAGACACAACACACTTGCGACCAATGGCTCCATTGGGTCTTTTAGGTGGAGCAGGGTCAAAGATGCGCTGCTGTTGAGCAGGAGGAAGAGTAGAATAAAGAGGAATGCAGCGTAACTCTCCAATCTCTGGACCCAGGTTGTCAACTTCCTTCTTCAACCTCTTGCAAGCTTCCTCGATTTCCTACAAAATTGAGTAAATATTTTTATAATGTAAACAAGTAGAAATCTTGCCCAGCTAGAGCTGTGCTCAGCTAGCAGTACCCAGTGAAACAAAAATAATTCTATATGTAATGTGCCTAAATGTAATTTAGGTGAGGTTAAATACGGGACAATGCTGGCCAGTGGTTTCCATCAGTAGTCCTATACGGCCCTGTCTTTGGGCATTTGCAGAGTGTTTTACAGCACTTTTGCTGTGGTAAATCATTTCACACACAACAATTGATGGGTGTGGGGAACGTGCCTTGCACGCTGTTTTGTTTTGTTTGAATCAAAGAGCTGGCTTTAAACTGATAACGTCTGCAGTTCAAATGGCTCCCTTGGGTAACAAAGAACACTTAATTTATTGCACAAGCTTCAAAAATTTAGGATGCAATTTTCTGTGGTAGAATTACAGTTGACTCCCGATAATTCAAACCTTCCAAGGGAAATAGAAAAAAGTTCGAGTTATCCGGAGTTTGAGTAGGGTAAAATTATATAGAAGACGATCTGAAGTAGCCTCCCACACAGGCGTTTTTAGGGGAACTCATTTTTCATCCCTCCCAACAAACACCTGCTCAACCGAAAAAAACATTCCTTTGCCATTGTTTTATTTGCGTGGTAAGTCACCAATCAAAAGTTGTGCCATAAAGTGTTGACAGAAACTCATAAGGGGTTGAAACGTGTAACTCTCATATGTTTGCTTTCTCCGATGCTCGTGATTATTCATTTTCGAAAGTACCATATTTGGAACGAGAAGAAGAGATAACTGACCAATCAAACTTCGTAAACAACATGACGTAATTTTCCTTCAGGTTCCTGCGCCCGCTTAAAAAAATGGCCGACAAACGGGGGAAAGTTTTTAAAACCGAGAAAGCTTTCAAAGGTTGAAACCAGGAATATTACCGAAACACTGAGCAGGATATTATTGCCTTACCACCCCAGCAAAAGGTAACATTATGAAACACATTGACGGCCTCGCAACTTCTTGAAGTTGTCACTTCAAAAAACGATGCCTTGTTGACCCTCTGCACAGTAAACTTATACTGCAAATTTAAAAGTGAATATAAACAGTGAAAAATATTTTCGAATAAAATTCATTAGCTGTGTATCAAAAGTGTCCAAAACCTGAACCTGACTTCTTCGCAAAAAGTGTAGCCTGCGCGCAGACGAAACTAAACTCTGGTTAACTCCGTCTGCGAAACAGCGCCGAAATGCTTGTTCTAGACTTCCAGCTGTGTACCCAGATTTGAGTACACGCCACGATTGGCCAGTTAAAAAAGGCCTTTGTTTTGTTTGTCGTGATCAGGTTGAAGGGGAATTCGAAACGCACTTCCGGTAATTCGTTGAGTCCGTTGGGGGTCCAGAACAAGGATCTCTACGCTGCTTCGCAGACGGTACTAATCAGAGTTTAGTTATCGTCTGCACGCAGGCTACAAAAAGTGATGCTTGTAATGAATGTGAGAAGCATTTTAAAAGTTTAAATTAAACTTATATGTTGTAGTCACGATCTCGTTTTGAGCTAATTTTATGAAGAAGATATATCTGAGGAGTAGCAAAGAATAAACTTGAATTATGGGGATAAATAAAATCAAACCAAATGCCCGGAAAAACTCTCGCGTCGCGAACAATTAATTTGAATTTTGTGAATTTACTTGCATGCATCTAACTCACTTCCGATTGGTTGAAAAACAATCAGCTACTGTCAAAACTCACACATGCGCATTATCATGAACCAGTCCCTTTGATGGTGTCTTTTTAACATTGAAATGCAAAACTCTTGTCTTAAAACATTTGCATGGTGATCGCGCAGCAGCCATTTTGTTGAAAATGGATATCCCTCACTAAGATTTGCAAATATGGTCAAAACGAATATTCACAAGCATTGAACACGAGTTACACGTTTCAACCCCTTATGGGTTTCTGGTGTTGACAGGCTAAACAAGACTAAAAGGTGACCCTAGAGTTACCGTTTTCGTTCTTTTCTTTCCTTTGCTAAGGTTATGCAGTGCAAGGAGTATTCTAAAATTTGACTAAATCTTATTTTTGCCGCTCATTTATTAGAGGTCAGAAAGCTTTCCTAGTGTTTCATGTAGATCGAGTCATTATCAGATTACCTTGTGGTCAAGGTTAACTTTTCGGAATTTGGAAAGTACAATGTGATTGGCTAAGCTTGGGAAAGGAATGTTGTCTTCGGTTGAGCAGGCGTTTGTGGGGAGGGATGAAAAACGAGCTCACCTAAAAACGCCTGCCTGGGACCCTAGATCTGAAGGGAAATGTAAATTGCTTGAGTTAGCAGGAGGTGCGAGTTATAGAGGGTTCGAGTTACCAGGATTCGACTGTATTGGCTAAAATTCAACAAGCAATTACTACTCAGAGTTCTCCACCCAAAAGCTGAATACAAACCTCCTGTCCTGTTAGAAAGAGTAAAATATCTCCTTCCCCTTCCTCACACATGTGAATCTGTACTACAGTTTTAATGGCTGCTTCTAAATAGTCACGCTCAGGTTCAGGTGTATAGAATATCTCCACAGGATGTGTCCGTCCAGGTATTGTCATGAGTGGAGCATTGTCAAAGTACTCTTGAAATTTTCCAGCATCAAGTGTTGCACTCATGATGATGATCTTAAGATCACTTCTTTGTTTGACGACCTACCAAAAAATGTTAAATGGAAATATTGTAACAAAAATCTACACAAGTAAAAACTAAAGTGAGAGGCCTAATGCTGTAATATTATTTTCCTCAAATGTTACAAGTGCACACAGAAGTTAAGAGTAAAAATAATACTACTGCATTTCCTTGAATAAGCACCCACAATCTAATAAACACCTTCCACGAATAAGCGCCCAACCCCTAAGGCAAATTATCTTAAACTGTGGGGATAGGAAAACCTGTTTCTATTGCCACTGTATTGATGAGATATTAGTGAACTTACACAACAGGACGGGAGAGGAAAGAAGATGGCAAACCTTGTGTGACAAGTGTGATAATAATTTGTTTGAAAAAAACTTCCTGCCAAACTTCACCTTCCTTTAAACATATATTTTCGTAAAAGACCAGACAATATGAATGTTAAGTGAAGATTACAACAAAACATGCAAGTAATAGCCCTGTCACGCTTGTCTCTCACAAGCATTTTGCCATCCTCTTCTTCCTGCCATACTGTTGTGTAAACTCACTAATGATGATGATGATAAGGTAATCTATATTTTATAAGCAACACAAGCATATAAAACATCTGTGTGTAGTGTACGATGGGAACACAGTACACTTGATTACCAACCACTGTCTAAACAAACAAAAGACATTAATGGTGACTTAACATTTACATGGATAATAATGCAGTTTTTGTTAATTACCTATTAAAGATTTAGCCAAAAGAAAGTAAACCTTTGTTGAAAGAAAAACTTCATAACAATAATGCCCCTCCTTTTAGCCAAAATTTTAAACAGGCGCCCAAACACTCATCTGAGGAAATACCGTTTTCCATGAAATACCTCTTTCAGAAGACCCATTAGTATATCAGTGGCTAGTGTTCTCTCGTGGGCTTCATCAAGCAAAATGACAGCATAACGTTCAAGCAGAGGATCTGTCATAGCTTCTCGTAACAGCATACCATCTGTCATGTACCTTAAAATTAAATAAATACATGTAATATTGTTGGCTTGCCTTTCGATGGGTATCCAAACATTCTTATGGTTGTGAGTAGAATGGATACCCCCAAAATCAGATTGTCATCTTTATTCAAAATACACAGTAAGCATCTTATAAGTCAAAATAGTAAATAAGGGAGGAAAGAAAACAGAAGAAAATAGTAGGTAGTAAGTAGGACTTGAACCTACATCATTTTGATGTACAATCCACATACCCACCACACCATCAAGGGCTAAATGATGACACCGGTTAATTTGAATGTAATTTACATGACATTATCTCTTGTACTGATTTCCCCACTTTTCTCAAAAATGGGCCCAATAAATTCACATAAATGGTTTTCTACAAGGAGTAATGTTGTGCAGCAAACATACGGTGTCCAACATGATTTTGAGGTATCCATTCTAGTTACAATCTATTTCTGATAGTTACACTTACTTGAGTATTGTTCTCGGACTTGTGCAATCCTCAAATCGAATGGTATAACCAACTTCCTGACCAATCAACACGTCCAACTCATCAGCAACACGCTGGGCCACACTCATCGCTGCTACTCTTCTTGGCTGAGTACAAGCTACACATTTGCGTTTGTCCACACGAGTTTCAAGACACCACTGAGGAATCTACAAAGTTCAAATTGACACTTGTCAGTTTGAATCTATCTTTAATTTTGTTCTTCTGGGAGAGGCACTTAGGGTAATTTTCAGTAGGGGTGTTTCAGACAAAAAGCATTTATTATTGTTGCTATCCTGTTTACAGGGCTGTGACTAAGATTCCAAGTTGCTGGACATATAAGCAATTTAAAGTGGGTGGGGAATTGAACAACTAGAAAATCGTTTAGTTATTCATTTTCCTTTCTCAGCTTCCTTTATATTTTTCTCATCCTTTTCGACATCATCACCAAAACTCCAAGTTCTTTTAATTGTACGATTTGATCTCGCATTACCGAGACCAATGGAGAAACTACCATTATTGTGCATTTCTCTGAATGTTAAAAAGGCTTTGCCAGTTGTGGATAAGGCTGAAGTTGCTTTTGCCGAAGCTGGCTGGCAGAACTTGCAAACGCGTATTTACCACACCCCAAGTTCACAAAGAAGATCCTCTGCTGTTCCTTCCTGAGCACTACTGTGTTGGGAAATCTCGCAAACACTAACCCCCATTGGACAGAAGTTATCTAGGATTCCTCTAACTCGTGCTCACAGACGCTGCACGCCATCTTTCTGACAGGAACGACTCGCGTAGAGGAGTGTTGATAAAACCTGTCAAACATCACCAACCAGAAGGTATACCAGGAGTTGGTATACCGGAACAAGCATTTTAAAGAAATGATTACAGGCTCTGACGCCCTTCCTCTCCCAGTTTCCTTCCATTTTAATTTTGTGTTTGCACTTCCTCAATTTCTTGACCCGACTATATATATCTAGGAGCCTGGAACCGGCTAAAGCCTGCAGCTACTGAGAACCAAGCTTAAGGGATTTAAATATCCCCACCTCTTGCAATGTTCATGACCCCAAATACAAGGTTTTAAGTCGACTGTGAACATTGTAGTAATGCAAGAGTGTTCAAATTGCATGTGACCATAACTTTACCTGGGTAGTTTTTCCAGACCCTGTTTCACCCACAAGAACAAAAACCTGATGTTCCTTCATCCCCTCCATAAACTTCTCTCTGTACTCCCACACTGGCAGCTCAATTCTCTTCTTCAGTATGTCAAAGTATTTGTCCGTGAATAGCTTCCCATTGTAAGGGTTGATCTTTCCACGCAGATTGCTGGGATTACTAAGTACGGGGAAAAACATAAATAAATCACTAAAATAAGACACACAACAAAAAGGCAAGCTTCATATAAAACACCATAAAACGAATGTGGTGCTTCTGATCGATATATATCTAGCTCATAATCTTTTAAGTCACTTTCAGTAAAGTTCTACAAAAAGTAACGCAGGACGCAAGTCTCACAAACATATCGTACTATAACAGCAACACTAGTACATGGATTTGAGAATTTTTCCTAATTTATTTGGAGAGGCGCAATTGGAAAGTAAAGCTTAGTTTCCGTTCGCATTGCCTACCTTAGCTCCTCCCGTATCCTTTTCGCGGTGCTCAGCGAATTGGAAGAACTCCCATCAACGTCCAATCTTCTCTTCGACATCTTGGCCTGAAGTCGAAGCGAAATAATCTCCACAATCTCTTCAAATCACTCGTTTCGCAGTGTCAATTGATCAATTTGTGTCCTCCATGTAATTTCGCCGGCAAAGAAAGTCGTGCAGAACACGCGTTTGCTCTGTCCCAGAAACCTTTGCAATCGTATAACATTCCAAATATGGCAATAGCCTCGCTATGAGGACGAGGTAATACCATTCCCCTGGCGCCAAAAGTGAAAATATGGCGCACTTGGTTTATTTATAAATTTGGCTACAAATTTTAAAAAGCTAATGCGCGCTTCTTTGCGACAATCGTTATCAGCTGTTTTGCGGATGAGACTTCTAAACAATGTGCGGTTCACTATTTCTGTAAATGAATACTCCAGTGGAACGATGGCGAACTGCCAAGCAAAAGTAAAGGCGTTTTATGGCGATAACTCAAAGTGGTAAGCAGCAGGCATTTATAAGATTAATCAAGCTTATTTTACGCTTGAATAAAACTAAAATGTACAGCATGGTTAAGAAAAAAAATCTTGTTTTAGTTTGCCTGTCAAACTGTGAAACTGTTTTTAAAAACATATCTGTAGATCGAAAGCATCTAGCAATTTAATAGTTTAATTAGACGTTTTACATGATTTATTTCATATATCAGTAACATCTCGACGTTTTGTTATCCACATGTTTGAATTGTGCTACATAGTAAATTTTTCTTATTTTATTTAAGCTTAAGCTTATATGCTTGTGAAAATTACAGTGAACCCTTCAGAGAAGCTTTGACTTCACATAATATGATCGACGTGTAATTAACCAGAATCACTTAATGTAATTATTATTGTACTAGCTAAATGTTGTATTGACACTATAAAACAGTGCATATATCTATGATAGACCTTATCAGGGGTTTTGGAAGCCATCTTACTGGGTAGGCAACCACGTAAAAAAAAAAAACAGTGTTTGTATAAGAATCTAATGTCAAAGAAAGTAGTTATTGTAAACTAAAGCTACAGTGTAATTTGTGATATTTTTCTTTGGACTCCCTAAAAATCTTTTCATTATAATTGTCAGAGGAATGACAGGGCATAAGCACAGGTACCCTAATTTCACGAGTGACAATCGTTGTTGTATAACAGAAATAATGACGTTAGTGGTTGTTATTAAGGTGTCAAAAGTATGTAATAAAAGACATCAGAATTTCTTACCTTTTCTCCTTGTTTAAATTTATGGTCTGTTCTTAGCATTTTTGACCATTTCAGTGCAATAAACCGTTATGATATTTCTGTTGCACCACAATGATTCTCAGTTACATTTTGACCTTAGGGTACCTGTGGGCACAAATTGAAAAGGGAGAGGAATTCCATTTTTTTGTGCAAGACATATTTTGGGGGTACTTATCAAAATGTTTGCATTTGCACTTATTCCATCCCCTATCCCACCTTTTCGCCATAATTAGTGATCAGTAAGTTAATAAGCTATTTACATTATGTGATGTCATAGCATCTACAAAGACTGGGAGCGAAAAAGGATTAAACTGGAAAAAGTTGCCACTGAATTCAGACGACACCCGATCATTCCAAGAAGGAAACTGAGGTATGTAAAATGTCAAAAACGGTTTGCATCCAACCCAAAATGTGCCAGAAATATCCTACTATTCTCATTTTCTAAATCAGTTTTTTGTCAGAGTAAAAAAAAATGCTAAACTAAGTTTCTGACTCAAAATTGATTTGAAAAAAAGAAAGAAAAAAAAATGAACAAAACCTTGTTAGGGGAGTTGCACCCTCTCCCCCCCCCTCCTCCTTTGTATGTGTACTTGTAACAGGTAGAACTAATATTATTTCTCTTTCTAATAATTGCTCCTGATTATTTGCAAATAGGATAGATGACCCCTTGCCTGTGTTTGAGACCTTTCCACGTCAGCAAATGGCATTTGATTATGTCAGGACCTGCCACCAGGTAGGTCAATAAGACATGATGTTTTTTTACACATACATGTATCTACTGGTCACTGTATGTCATAGAATGTAAGTTATGTAATTGAAGCAATGTTCTAAAGCCAGGTCTAAATACCAATATCATGAAGGAGCCTGTATTTTAATGTGTAATGTAATATTGTGGATTAGAGGGGACAACAAGTCATGCGCCCTACAGTAAGCTTGGATGTCAGCATATAAGAGCGCCACTGGCAGCCGCTAGCCACCGTTTGTCTCATTTATAGTTAACAATTCATTGCGAAGTGGAAGTTGGGTGAATGAGATATTCAGGAGCTTCCACTATGGACAGCCAGCTCCTTGAAGGGGGTCCCTCCCATGGCTAGCAAATCCTGGCAACCCTGCCGTGAGCCCCCATCGCAAATCGTACAAGAGAAGAAAGCAGGCACCCGTCACACTGAGCAAGTCAGGGGAAAGAGGGAAGGTAGAGAGAAACTGTTATAAACTGAGTCCTTACAATTGTGAAACACCAGGCTGAATAAATGCTCACTAAATTTGCCCAAAAATGCCAGAACACTATTTAAAACACAATTGAACATGCTACAATGCACACAAATCCAAGAGACCATACATATGGGATCCTGGTGCATGCACATCTCACAACACCACTGGCCAGCAAGATAAGACTAGCACTCTTTGTTGTTAACTCCATTAAATTGCATTTAATCGCACTTTAATAAGTTTCCCTGCTATAGCCTGATCCACCCCATCATACTATAACAAATCAGACATCTAAGTAACACATTCAATAAGATTAACTTTTATCAATGTATCCTCACAAATGGAGTAAATGAATTGGTCACACTGGTGGATCAAAATGGAAATACATTTTCATGTAGTACAGTTATATTCAGGATGGATGATACAATTCTTAAAATTCTTTCAGTTTCTGTTATTTTATTTGTGATCTTAGATAACACCACTATTGCATTATCTAGAGAATTTTTTCTGCTTTGCTTTTGAGAAAACCAAGGCCAAAAGCTTGAAAAGTCTGTGTCACTTGTAAAACAAAGTATAAAGCAAAGTAAGTGGAGTGAACTCAGAGGCAACTTTTTGCCTTTCTTCTAAACTTACAAATATTGTGTTATTTTTTGAATAAATTGGAAAATTCTGCAAGGCCACACTGTAGAATAAACCCTATAGTTTCTTACACCTTTCAAACAGCAAACTGGGCTTACTTGTTGACTTTACAGCTGTATTGCATTCACATCAGTTTTTGGCTTTTTTATTAACTCCAACAACCCATCTTATGGAGATGCAGTGAATCACATTCATCTTATGCTATTTTCACTGTACTGCCATGTAGGATGTGCATGTCTTTGCTAGAGAAAAAGATAGCCATGGAAAGCGTTTATACATTGTTGCAACCTTACCTGAGTTCTGGTACAGGTACACAAGGTATGATGGATTTTAAACATTTTATTATTGGATGAAGTTTTTGTGATATCCGGAATTATCAAGGTCAAGGTAAGTGTTATCAGCTGAGCTGAAGGCCAAGGCTGATAACACTTACCAAGACCTTGATTATTCTGGATATCACAAAAACTGAATCTAACAATTGTCTTATTATACATTGTTTAGAAGAAAAAAAGGACAAACACAGCATTGTATGGAACACAGTTGACATTGCTCTTGGAATTTATGCTTTGCATGCTCGCAGCCTACAAATTAGACAGTAATCTGCCAGCAGATAACTAACTAATCTGTAGGTTGTCCTGATTTCAAAAATTAACAGTAGGCTCTTTGCCAATGAGAAGACAGATAGTGAGTACAATGCATAATACTAAAAATTAACTAGTAATAACCAAAGGTTACGGAGAGCGGGTTACAAGCAAGTGCTTTGTGAAGGCCTCTTGTGACAGATGGTCAAACACGCGTGATCAGGTTACAAGGGGTAGAAGGTCAAAACGCTGGTGATCAAACTTAGTGGAAGTGCAAACAATAATTTGGTGGCTACATACATGCAACGCATGTGTAATAACAACCTGGAGATTAGGATCACAGGCTCCTCTTGTCCCCTGCAATTATCTAAAGGTTGTGGGAGACACCTATTGTTATGTAGTTTTTGAAAGTGTATGCACGAAGTACAGTGACTGATATTGGCAGGTTTCTGAGATATTCATAACTGCAAAAAAAGGGGAGTGCATAATTTTAAGTGTTCACTTATTCTTGCACATGTGGCACACAAACTGTGAACAAAATGTTTATTCAAAAGTAACAAACAGGCTGTGAATCAAATGTTGTTTTAGTGATTTTTAATAATATGCAGGTGAAACTTAATATGGAAATCTTTAGATTTTTCAAACAAATTTAATGCCAAAGTCCACAGTGGCCTTAGAGGGGAAAATTGCCTTCAGGTTTCTAGTGTACTTTTTCTTGCTTTCCAGTCTTAGCAATACATATTCATGAACTACATCACTGCATAATAAGTATTATAATGTTTATGACTAGTTTTAAATTGCCTGATAATCTTCTTTGTTTCCCTTAAACTGGAAATCCAAAAAGTTGTTCTTCTCAAAAGTCCAAAATCATGTAAATTATAGTACCATGAATTTCCAATGAATACATGTAAGTAATGTGAATTTTTGCATTTCTGTTCAACTTATAGGGAAAGACCTGAAGACAAAAATTACTACGAGGTTATACCAGAGGGTATGATAGTTTGGTGATACTGCATTAACATAACATTTCACTTCAGATATAATTCTTGAAAATGAATACATTTTCTTATTTATATACCTGATTCAATAAAGGTTCCTTTAGGCATTGAGCAATTGTGCACTGGAAGGCTACTGTTTGGCAGTCAATCAAGCAAATTGTTGCTAAGCAGTGAGCCCTGTATTCCTGAGCGCCCAATGCCAATGCAACACTTATTGAGCTGGTATGCTGTAAACTGCCACTTATAAAGCTCCCCCACTTATGAACCCCCCTAATGAGTTACAGGCCCATCTACCTGTAAGCAAAAAATACATCCAATTAAAAGCCCCGCCCCCATCCAAATGTATTTTGAATTTGATTTATTATGATGCTTTGAAGCTTAGTTAAAAACCAGTAAATGAAAAATGTATTTTGACCAGCACTGCTAATAGCTTGTTTTTGAAGGGCCTTTTCTATTCTTGTTATAAGTGGCCTCAGATATAAGCCTGTCTGTTTACAAAGCACTCCTAAAACCCCTTACAAAGATATATAAGCCCAGGGCTTAAAAGCAGCAGTTTACAGTATGTCAGAATGGTGTTTTGCACCTGCAGTTTCTTTTTTACTGTGATGTCAACAATAATGCATGTATTATAATAATTATCATGAATCTTTATAATGAATCAATTTGCCATTGGAAAATTGACCAAAAAACACTGTTGTAAGCTAGTCAAGCCGTTTTCTTAGTCTCTGTTGGGCCAAAAAGTAGTAAAACTGCAGCCCAAAGCCTTGTTTACAAGTTACACAATGCTGCTCTCTGTCCCTGATGCTTAATCACTGCTTCTCAAGTTTGGGCCTGCACAGAGGACAAAAGTTCCACTGTTACCTTTGATCTCTTGCCTCCTTTTTACCTATCTACTGGAAAAAATTGGGGGGAAAGCTTTTATGGTTGTCGAAGTGCAGGTGGTTAGTGGAACAAAATCTTTCCATTTCAATTTTTGCTTCAACTTGACATGTATGGTTTTGTGCATTGTTGTCTGGCCTGTTTGACTGAATCATGCTCAGGTGGGTATGGTTCGAGAGATCTCTTTCCCCTACACAGGTTAGATGTCAAAATAATAATTATTGTCTATGACTGTTACATGTAATTAAAAATGGTGAAGTTACAAGCAGTACAAGGGACTTGGATCCACACGAGCAGCTATGGGTAGTTCAGGTGTCAATGGGGCAAAAGGCAGCTAAAATAATTGGTAGATTGGGGGTGATGGTGGTTTAGGCACATAGAGGTCCTCAGATTGAGGGTCATTGTATTTTTCTTTCACTGAGAACCATCCAATGCTAGAATACTACATGGAATATAATTTTGAAACTGATATTCATGGGAACTTTATATTTTGAAGTATTTTTTTCTCTTTTTCACTCTTTACTGGTAGAATAATGACAACTAATCTATTCCAATGTTACAGGAGCTGCCTGTAGGTTATATTTTGACTTGGAGTTCAAGACTGAACTTAATCCTGAGAAGAATGGAAGCAAAATGGTGGACACTTTTATAGAGGTCTGAAACTGGAAAGTCAATATGTAGATATTTTATGGGACAAAAAAATTCCTTTTATGTTATCATATTCCACAGTTGAATTTTCGAAATAGGATCATGGTAACTTTGCCCTTTTAGTGTTTCGTATACGGAATCTTAAAATGATATGACTGGTAAAAGCATACCCGGTAGTGTCTTGCATAGATTTTTCTTAGCCGGATACCTTTGAATATTCCTTTTCTTAGTAAATCCCTAGGCAACAATATTTTGAAGTGTATACGAGATCTTGCATCTGAGCTTTCCATTCAACCCAAAACTCCTGAAATTTCGGCTGGTACATCAAATGGAACAGACCATTTCGGTTTGGTCCGACCAGAATATTCGAGACCAGGTTTGAAGGTAGTCCTCTTTGACCAGTCCGGTCATTTCTGTCGGTCGGACCGAAATGTCCGTTTCCATTAGACAAAATTGTTTTCCCCAGTACCGCTCTTTTGTATCCTGCTTACAAGAACAATAACCAAACGCGCGCAGGATTGATCGGGTCTCTGCAACCGGAATGTACCGTTCCATTAGGCACGTGGAATTTCCGAAATTTTAAACCGGAATTTTTGTTGAATGGAAAGCGCCCTTGGTTTCAATTTAAAACTTAAGCTAATTCAGAATTTCAAATTAAAAACAAAAACTTCTCTCATTTTTACTTCAGTATGTTTGTCTTCAACTCAAGGATATGTATGACTTAAATTGTGACAGAAGGACTGTTATAGATTTGGATTCAAGGTAAGCGTCAACGAAAAAGACGTAAAAGTGTATTTAAGGTACAGCATACAGTTCTGCAATCTCATCACTCAAAGTAAGCAAAGAACTGATATACCCCTAAGCAGTATTTGTCAAGTTTATTGGTAGAGTTTATGCCATTCTATTGTTTCAACCGTAAAGTTATGTAAGAGACTCGAATGTTGACGGTAAAATGGGTTACTGAGTGGCAAGCACTTTTAGTTGCATTATGTCCTTTAAGAGGCATTGTTACTTGTCAGCTTCAGTTTTAGATGCTACTCTAAGTTCTGACTTTAGTGGGTCATGTGACATGTTACAGTACGCAAATAGTGGTTAGTACAGTGGTATTTTTTCAGCATTAGTAGCCTGAGTGTGCTTAGTGTGAGCATTCCAAAATTAATTTTGTAAGCACCCACCTATCTCTTAATATACAACTACGGGTCATTTACAAGAATCCTTTGCGAAGGCAGACAGCTTGACTTAAAGGTCCTTTTTCTACCTCCCGAGGGATTCTGTTTATGGGAGCTTTGACCTTCCATTGTTATGTTCTGTAACAAGTTGGTACTGCTGTACTACTATTAATTTTAGCACCAATTCCAAGTTTTCAAGACACCTGATCTTCCACTTGCCTGGTGCAGTTTTTAAGGACAACATCCACGCTGGTAAGATTGGCACTCAGTAACACTCAGTTAAGTTCTTATCTATCTAAGATTTTGATGGATGGTAGTCACCACCAGAATTTTCGTTCAGATGAGCACCATTAAATTAATATTGATTTTCCATTTATAGGAAACTTTGTTCGACACATTTGTTCCCAGCTGGAAACAAAACTTGGTGATAAATATGACATTTGTAACGAACAACCGGGAGAAAAAGACACAGCAGTTCAAACTGAAAAGGAACTAACCTACGAAGTAAAAAGCATATTTTCCTCAGGTAAAGTAGAGGTCCTTGGCTTTTAAGCTTGAAATACCTTTTGATTTAGCCTTTATCTGCATGGTAGAAAGCGTGAACTTTCATCCGTCTTGAATATAATTATGGTTAATAGACATACTGTTTTCTTTGTTTTCCTTACTTTTTTGCACACCTTTCGCGTGCCTCATTTTCTCGAATAAGTAAATTTTGCACGCCTTAAACACGGCGCTTATTCAAGGGCGGCGTTTATTTGAAAAAGCTAAAAGAATTAACATTTTTATATCAGAACCGCGGCGCTTATTTGGGGGCGGAGCTATTAACTTTTTCGTCCAAAATGCGGCGGTTAATCGGGGCGGCGCTTATTTGAGTAAATACGGTTATTTCTTTGATTTTATTACGTTTGATGCTTGACTTGTACATTTTCCCTCTGGAACAATATGATTTATTCTTCATTTTGCAGTTTTTCTTGAGAAACTGAGAGAACTGATGATCAAAGATGGAAAGCCAGGTGGATTTGGAATCTTCTGTGACCAAGGTATACATATTGATTTATTAGGGATTTATTCGAGACAAAACCTTCAGCCTGCATGACGGGTGCTATTTTGTCCAGCGCAAAGCACGAGACATTAACTTCCGCCCAGTTAGCTCAGGTGGAAGAGTGCCGGTCTGCTGAGCGGAAGGCCGTGAGTTCTAACCTTGGCCGCACCACCAACCATTAAAAACTGTTAAGATCATGATAGCTGTATTTAAATCCCTCTCTCAGTTCAGACGATCACGTCATTGGGTGGTGACGTGAAGCCGTTGGTCTCGTGTCTTTCATCCTTGCTCATCAGTTGGAAGGGAACTCTAAAGAACCTGTGACATTGTTCGAAAATAGTAGCGGGCGTAGTCCCGGTGTTATGGTCTATCTGACGTGTGCCGTCATTCGTCTGTGTGGGTTCAGGTGACGTAAAAAATATAAGGAGAACTTAGAAATTACTTGCAACCATTATGGCTCTTGTTGCAACTGAAACCTTAATCTAAGGAACGTTTTCGTGCCTTTAAACTTTTTCAAAGCATGCATCGGTGAATCGGTGAACCTGAAACTCTGGCAAGTGAAAGACGTTATCGAAACTATAACTAAAATAGGTTTGCTTTGATTCGCAATAATTTTTTAGCCGCGTTGTGAGGCGCTGAGTATTTTGTCCCGCCACACCGAGCCAGTTCACACGTCTCAAAAATTGAAAATTAGGCACATTTTGCGGCGCTGTAAAATGTTTGTATCTCACAACCTCAAATGAACCTTCCGTTCAACAGGCTGTACACGGCCAAATGCGAAGTGACCCGTAAATCCTGCAAATGCGGAAATCCGGATATGCGGAAGTCGGCAAATCTGACAGCAGTCCGAGACCAAAGCCTATTCCAAAAAACAGAGATACTGCCTTTGTTTAGAGCTTCTCCTGGATAAATACATCCAGCTACATGGCCTAACTGTAACTGTTTATTTTTCACTAAACTGAAACACGGTTCCAAGAACGATTGTGTTCGGCAAATAGGCTGAATGGGCTCCATAACAAACAGTTATTATCAGTTGATCTGTCACAAACATGCGGTGTGCGCCAACATATCACACTTTTGAGGACATATACGCTATGTACGTTGTCTACATTTGGAATCTGAGAATGGCAAGATCTAGGAAACCGAGTCATCTCGGTTATCGCGACTTATCAGTATAGAGGCCCTTAAGAATCGCCTGTTAAAATGGGATAAAACGTCCCGGCCAGTGAGTACGTTTATTTGGAACCGATCGTTACTAAGTAGAGAGGGGAGGAGAGAGCTTGAGCAAATGGAGGAAAGCCTTTTTCAAATTTTACTGACCCTCTCCCTTGTAAAGCAGTTACCCACTCTGCCCACTCCCTGAATTGACTATCTTACATTCGGAACTGGGTCTCTCCTCCCGAACCTTGTCGTTAGAACTCCTGCATTTTCCCTCTTGTCTTATTCTTCTTTTTTCATTGTCCCACTTGATTCTTAAATGCGTATTATACAAAGCATTCTAAGCATAATTTCGGTCATCGAAACCTCCCCGGAAGGTTTGAGCTTGAGCATATTCGAATCTCGAATCGTGGGGACGGTTCTCGGGATACTAGCCCAGAACAGCCCAGCAGTCTGAAATATTAGGTACTACGGTCTATCTGTTTTTCGCGAAAATCTGAACTTATCGAATATCTGGTACGACTACGACTCTTTCTACTTTGGCGCACATAAATCGAAATTTGTCCACAAATATCAAATTTTCTTAAAGGAATTATTGAAAAGTGGTCTTGAATATCAGACTGCCGGGTATCTTGTTCTTCGAAAACATTTACCGGCTGCAGTAAGGTATCGAGACACAACGTTTAAAAGTCCTCTCATTTTCCGCTCTGCTTCAATCTTTTGTACTTAAGCTATGCTTTGACTTGTTCTTCATTATATTCTCCTCGATCTTTCTCGAATTTCGAAACTGGAACGCATCTGAAAACGCTAAAAGGGCGAGCAGAACTGATCACAAACTGCGCTTTTTCATACAGCACTCTTGAGACTTTCCGAAATGGCCGATGATTGTCTAAGTCTTGGTAGGGGTAACGTATTTGTGACGTCATCTGTGCGCAGCGCTATTCATTGTGGGTTTGTGACAGTGTAACATGTATTTAAAGGCAGATTTCAGAGAATACCAATTTGGATTGACCTTGAGCGACAGTGGTGTAAATAGTGGTTCAAGTTTAAGTTCAGTGTCAATGCCAATGTCAAATAAACGCTATATAACGAGACCAGTTTCAGTCATACAGCCTGATCCAGGTAATCGATGAGCATCAAGAGTCAACATGCCACGAACACAGCAACCCAGTGTCCAGATCCGAGGTGCTTAATGGATACACTTTCATTATCAGAGCTCCAAAACGCTCTCTCGAAAGAGCCTATTTTGACGATGAGCTCTTTGCATATATGGAGAAAAGAGCACGAGAAGACCCGCAGTTTAGAGGTGCATACTGGGAACACTTCAACGATCGCGATGCATGTGGAAAACATAGCATCGTTGGGGACCATTATCACATCGCTGTCACGAGACAACGTCCTCGAGAAGGTGAAGCGTCTTCAAGCGCCCTTGGTTGTTGGGTACGTGACAAAGCTAAAGGATATGGTACCGAAACTCTTGAAGGACAAAATATATTCAAACCTTCAGGATTATTCCTGTACCTTAGAAGACCTCCACGATCCCTTGCGTACTATACAAAAAGTATAAAGGACCTTGTCTTTGAAAAGAATGGATACAAGTATTTGCACCATGTGCCACTTGAACCAGGAAGCCTTCCTGAAGTGCCTGGGGTCGATGAAGGATGTAGTGGTGCAGGGGCTCTTTTCGACCCCGGAAGTGCGCAAACCAAAGGCGGAGCCGTGCTGTTCGATGTTATGTCCGTCATACACAAGTCCAAGGCCGGGACCATCGAGCAGTTCCAGTCTTGGGTCCTATCTAGAGATCCGGCAAGAGCAGCTACAATCATGGAAGAGCATTTCAGTAAAAGGAACTTAAATCAGACATTAGCAACGGCAATGGATTGGTACCCATTGACCCAGTCGGCAAAACCCTGGCGAGAGCAGATGGGAAGTGTCATAAAGCCCGAAGGTGTCAAGGTTATGTCAGTGGAACGTAGCCTGAAGATGTTTGATGTTATCATGAAGTGGCAGTTCATTAAAGACTGCATGGACATTATGGAAAAGTCTATTCAAAAAGAAAACACATTGTTGTTGATTGGCAGTTCAAATGCCGGAAAATCTCAAAAACCTCAGTCACTTGCACTGACTGCAGCTAAGATTTCACGTTTGTATCAGGGCTTGAATAATAGCTTTGCTTTTCAAGATTTGTTAAGTAAAAATGTAGTTATTCACCAAGAAGCCCTGTTGGCCAAAGCATCTTACGAGATGTTTAACCTTGTTATGGAAGGTGCAGTCACAGACACTGAAGTGGCAGTTAAAGGCAAAGTGCCTTTTAGGGTCGCATATTCTCGACATATTCTCGGTTTGCATTGTCACGCAATGAAAAATAAAAATGCAAACCATTCAATACAGAACGTCTAGAATCTGGAAAATGAAAGAAGATAAATATACAAAACGTCTTGTAAAAAATCAGGTCTGTGCAATATTTCAAATGTGAGATATTTTGAAAAACGATTTACCTAAATTTATAAAGCTTTGTATGGAAATGGCCGCCGGATACCAACATGCAGAAACATCTGTTTTCGAGTTTTTCTACTAATGCGTGAATTCTTCGCGTGAGGAACTCATAAAGATTAAAGTAATATTTATTCTGAGACAAGGAATGTTTAGATAGCAAAATCTCCCAAAATCGGTCATGTTTTTAGCCTACATAAGAGCTCTCCTGGCCGTCAGCTAAATGCCGCGTCACGCAAAAGCCTGGAACTTCAAGCGTCCTCTCTCGCAAATCGAAGTACCCTTTGGAACCAAAAATTGGTTTATATAAAAGGGTTTAGGTGCTGTCATACCTCGTGAAAGTAGAAACTCAGAAGAATCGATAGTTTCTTAGTTTGATTTTAAGTGACGTCACGTACAAACCAAGAATATCAACACTTGTCATTAAGTACCCTGGACTATGGCTGACCCTTAATATGTAAATGTGTTTCAAATAGTTGCATCAGGTATAAATTACAGCATTGGAATGACTTGTTTTAGTTTGCAAGGGAGGGTGACATGAATCCAGAAATGTAGATTTTAAAAACTAATTGAAGAGTTGGATAACCATGAAGCTGCAAAGCAAGAAGCATTGCTTGCTTGTGATGAGGAAGTTGACTTATGTATATGCTGAGACTATTGGGCCCGAACTTCCTCTTGTGTCACATGCAGGAACTTACTTAGATGTCTGGAGATTGTGTTTCACAGATTCTCGAGGAGTTAGAAGTACTTCAACTTACTCCTGAGAATGCTGTTGTATCAGAAACGCCGACCTGAACCTCCTAGTAAACGTCGTGCAAATAAGTAGAGATTGTACAGTATAAAGTCCAATTTCAAAGTCAAATTCAAGTTCAATTTTACCAAGTTCAAGTTAAATTTTACCAATGTCAAGTTCATATATAACCTACATAAATGCAAAATCAAAGACTTTAAAATAGAACTATCCACTTGTGATGAAACTTTTTCAGATTTCTTGTTTTTTTGTGACAAAGAAACGTAAAACATTTACAAAATTCCAAGTTAGTCTGTTTTTGTTTTTTTGGTTGTTTGTTTGTTGTTTGCTTGTTTTGGCAACAGATTAACTCAGATTAAAACCTTGAAAATATACATCAAAATCTCTAAAACTCCCCTTGTCTAAAAATTTGTAGCTACCTTATTACATGAAATTTTCGCGACACTGAAATTTCGCGAATTTTGCCATTGTTTTGAAATAGCGAAATTATTGTGACGCTATCCACTTGTGATGAAATCGCACAAATCCGGATTTCTGAATTTTCGGGTTTCGCATTTCTAATCACTCTGTAGAGCCACTTGCACAGAATGTTTATTTGAAGATGTAGCTCTGAAATCTCAGTTTTCTAACCTAAATGAAACTTGCTTAGTTATTTTTCTGATTCTCGAGCTAACTCAACTCTGGACAGTTGTTTTACCGAGCTATTTAGCTCGAAATGTGACACAGTTTCGGCTGTTTTGAGCTTCGGATTGTCAGCATGGGATTCAAATAAGGTCGCATACAAGCAGTTTCTATGTAGGACATTTACTGGAATGTTGTGGGAATACAACATCTTAGGGATAAGAATATGGCTCAATTTATGAGTCAATGCCAGCAGTGGAAAAAAGCCGTACTTTTGATAAAATCTGATAGATCCATTACAGTAGAGCTGAAATTATCGCATTACCTCGCGTATGCGACGAATGAACTATCTTTTCGTCTATTTGGTCTTAAGCTTTCAACTAGATCACAAACGTCAGATAGTAAGCTTTTTAATTAGGGTCATTTTTGGCCTTTCGCTCTAAGGCAATTAGGTGGGGTCATATTTTGCTACATTTTGTCTTTTCGCCTAAGTTAAGCGAGCAACTATTTCTTTCGGGAAAAACTAGAGATAATTACCAAAAACAGGCGTAAAATTCATTGGCAGATGGTACGAATTAAACGTTTTACAGCGCTGCGAAAAATGCCAGATTTTCAATTTTCTAAACTTGTAAACTGGCTGTGGCGGGACAAAATACTCAGCGCTTACTTTTGGTCTTGATAAAGCCTTTCACTTGCCAGACAGAGTTTCAGGCAAATTATTTTTTACGCGATTTTTACTGAGACGGCCTTTTAATATACCTTGACACTACAAAATTAGTATTCCTAAGTGTCTTTTCTCATAGAGACGATTTGCCCCAAAACTTAAATCAAAATCACGCCCCAAGATTGTAAAAAGTCCACTTTCTGTTGACGTGCGTCGCTTTAAGGACGCCCTTGCTTAAACTCCGTATCATCTTGCATCTTTTGTAGGAGTCTACACAAAAAATCGCAACTTCAGAATTTTGAATTCGACGAAAATAGGGAAGAACTCTCCTCTTCTTGTCTCCAGCGAGAATGCATTCAAGGTAATTTAATATGGTGGCCTATCAGTAAGGTTTTAACTTCTTTTTTCTTCATGCTATACCTACTGTTACCGTAGTGTCCCTAGCTACCAGGTGTCCATATTAAGCGGGCTCTCAGAACCAAAATTTCATGTACACATGTTTTATGGATGTGCCGTCGAAAGCAGACATTTTCACTGTTCTTGGAACTCGACAAGGGAATCCGTGACCTCACTTTTTACTGATGGTTCCAGCAGAGCGCTTGCGGCAACTCAGCCAGGTGTACTGACAGATCGAACCTTTGAATGGTTATTTCCGTTAGGTTTTCACTGTTAAGTTATTCAGTCACAGACAGTGCTCAGATTAACAGTGTCCGTAAATCGGGGTTAACGATACATAGGAGTTTGTGACGCGGGATACAGGAAATTGTCCGTATTAACCGGTGTCCCTATTGAGCAGGTTAATTTTAAAGAAAATATTTCAACTTTTGGTCGTGACCAACGAAACCAACCGTTATGTACGGGTGTCCGTATTAACCGTCCGTAGAGCGGGGTTGCACGTATATTACTTGACGGAAGTACCAAATGTTGTGAATCGCTCTTTTAGTAAGCCCGTTGTTTTTATTATTGTTCTAGCCCAGTTTCAAGGATAGAAAAGGAAGCTTCTCCAAAGACCATGAATACTTGCTATTTCTTGATTCACTGGTTTCCAATGTCAGGTACGATAACAGCAGTATTGCAGAGGTGCTAAAGCAAAAGCCAAAACATTTCTGAATAAGCATTAACTGGTGTCATTAAAAATATTAAATTAGTGATGAATACTCCAAAAAAGTCGTCAAGCCAAGCAATAACCTTCCCTCACAGACATTCAACTGAGCTGAAGGCTTACCTAATAGGATTGCACGTCTATCAGCTGCATCCTGTTATCGGTTATCTGGCCTGGCGGGGCGGTTATCTGTTAGCAGGAAAAAGGGAGAACTGTGCAAGACTTCTTCAGTGTTATGGACCTCTGTTACATCTTCCACCACTTTTTTATTTTATTTTTAACAGCAGAGCCTTTTTTGATAAATAATTTGTTTATTCCCTCAGCATGCAAACTGGAGGAAAGGATGTTAAAGTTCTTACATGTGGTAGTTGTGTTAAATCGCCGAAAAAATCCAGTCAGAAAGAAGCACGGGATGCAAGTATGCCTTTAAATTTTTTATTACAAACTTTTATTCAATCCTTCGGCCTGTGATTTCTCTGGTGTTTACATAGCAGCCACCACATCGACACAATATGTGTACCTAACGCTTTTATGGTACATTTCCTTGGTGTCGTCTGCACAACTATGACGTTCAGGCTTTGTTTACACTTAACTGGATAGCTCTTACACCGGCAGGAAAACTTTATCGGACAGGGCTTTTGTTCAAACATATATTAACGGTTTTTCCGGACCTGTTTCTGTAATAGAACGAAGCTGCGCCCCTCCGATCTTGAACGTGTGTCGACACCTTTCGGATTGGTGTCTGTGCCGCTCTTCGTTGCAGTGTGAACAAATGTTCCCTTGCCGACAAATCCTACACTGCAAAACACTGAGCCGGTCCGTGAACAAATGTTCCCTTGCCGACAAATCCTACACTGCAAAACACTGAGCCGGTCCGTATTTCTTGTCTAGGTGAAGAACGCTCGAGGAGACAAACGAAATATCTGGAGTGAGAGTGAGAATGGGGACAAGTGTGATGCTCGCACACTTTGCACCTTGAAAAAATCTATTTTGAGTATAGAGCGTTAAAAAAAGCCTGGCTGTTTTGCAGTCTAAACGAAGCCTTGCCCTGTTCAAACAGCGTTCGTACTTAAGAATAGTTCATTTACTCTGTTCCTGCAGCTTAATCTGAAAATGCCTGGAGACATAACTGAAATATCTTTTCGGCAGGCTCCTCACCTTCCCAGTCAGGCTATGAGCACTCGCCCTATCCTGATATTGACCTCTTTGTTTCAAGCATTATCAACAAAGGAGGAGTGCAGGGCGAGATTAGAAGATGGGTATTCTTTCCACAAGGTACAGTGTACAATAAACTTTTTTACGGTCGATACAGAGTTCAGGATGTTTCATAGCAGCAGAAAATAAGAGTTCTTGTCAGTTTTTCACTTTTTTTTTCCTTTCCTATATCACATGTATACGATGGTAACTGATATCCTATTTTTTCCGGCTATCTTGTTTTGAAACGTACACAGGGGGATATTCCCTTTTTAAAAGGGGTCCTGTTTTCAGGGGTCAGGTATATGAAAGGGTAGGGATTTCTCTAGTTGAAGTATATGACAAGGTAGGAAAATCTGCCATTTGGGTCTGAAAGGCCTGAAAGGGCTCACATATGCATTTTAAAAAACACTCTGGTTTTGTCATATATTCTTGTTTTAAAGGCAGTGCATTTTCATAGACTGTGCGTTTTCTGTTCTGCTGTCCTAAGTATTATATCTATACTGTATCCATTTTCCTTTGTCATAATATATAATTTTACTAAGGGCCACAATATTAGTTTACCTAGATGTGCCCCTCTCCTACTTAGTATTATTTCATTTTCTGTAAATTAATGGTGTTTGTGATAAATGCTAAGTGGAGAAAAAATAAAATGCAAATACAAAGAGAGTGCATTTTCAACAATTAGAAGGGCTGAAAAGTTCTAAACTAGGTTTGTGAAAGGGGTACCTTTTGTCAATGGAAGTTATATGAAAGGAGTTACTTTTCTTTCAAAAATGGTATTTAAAAGGGTAAAAGGAGCCTCCCCGTATAAAACTTTGTTGAGTGTCCCCCGAGAAACATACCTCTATGTTCAGAAAGAGTTCCTCCACTACCAGGGTTGTCACTAAGGGCCGGGGGCCGGGGATTTCCCCCGGCTACTCAGAGCATGGCCCCCGGCTACTTTCGTCGTTAAATTAAACCAAAAGAGCACACCTTTGAAACACACAGACTATCCATCAAACTAAATGCGAGTTTCATCTGGAGCAGGTTTAAGTAATTCTGAAATACTCGCGTGCAAAAACTAAGAAACGTCGGAAAAAGACATCTGACTTAGATTTGGTACTAGTACACACGCGCGAAAACTCTCCGTTCGCGAAATGTCAGTAGGGAGTTTTAGCAACGACGACGGCGACGGCAACGGCAACGAGAACGTCAAAAAAGCAATAGGTTTATTGAGCAAAACAACTAGTTTGCACGTGCATCACGCTTTTTTGTACATTTCTTTGCCGTTACTGCACGACTACGACGTGAAAATGCCTAGTTTCACGTTTTATGGAGGACGTAAAACAAGCGACGACAAACTTTTCTTTCTCTTTCTAAACTTGAGTGCGCCCAAAGAAATCAACTCCAGGGAAATTGGCCTACATTAGCTATTTTCAGCGAATTGAAATAAACGCGACAAAGCTGGAAAAAAGGCCAATTCATTTTTAAAAGTGACGTTTTCGCTGCCGTCACCTTTGTCGATGCTAAAAGTCCCTAGTTTCAACCGTTGTGTAGGGTTTGTGTTGAACATGTCGAAGAAGTGGCAAAGGATTCTGCACTCTTTGTTCACGATGAAAGACCTTAGCAGATCTCTGTTGACATCACAAGTTGAGGCATCATCCGAGGGTTAAATCTCCCTGATGCTGATTTTGGTGATAATTAGGATTATGATGAAGGCTTTGAAGATGAAGACTATGACTGATTGCCATGTTTAATATGTGGACATTTAAGTGACCAGGTCTACATTAAGCTTTAGGTATCAAGTATATAAAATAACGCACGGTCAACTGGAAATATTCGATCATTGTCCGCAGGCCATGATCACATGCTCTTAGTTCTACTTCCAAGAAGTTGCATTACTTTTACATTCTTCTCCTTGAGTCTCGTTTTGACATCTCAGCGTCGTTTATAAAGGATTAGCGCTGTCGTTTAAACGCTTTTCCGTAGGTCAGTTTCTTCGTATGTTAAGTGATGTTTCGTTCATAAATTCGAGACCACTAATGTCACCAGTTGTGCAGTTTAGTTTTGCCATATTTTATCCCGCGATTTTTCGTGCGTTACGCTTGTTTTAGGCTTATCATACTTTTATTTTTCAACAAGCCATAGTAACCTTATGTTTATGATGCTTTTTCATACATTCATCGTCCGCTTTTCTTCTTTCCGCTTCTGCGTGGGTTAATTCATTTGCAATATTAGTTTCACTTTTGTTTTCCGTACGTTGTTTCGTTCTTACGTATAACTAAAATAATGAGGATTTACAATTGATTTTACAGCGTATGTTAATTCATTTGCACCGTATAAGAATCGATTGTCCTTTCAACATTTTTAGCATTTGTAAAGTATCGTTGTGATTTAACACTTCACTGGCCAGCATGCGCCTTGTCTGCGTGAAGATAAGACTGCGCAGATAACGTGACCGGTGCCAACCTGTCCTTTTTTTTCAGGCCCGGTGCTTACATGTATATTCCCATTTGGTTTGGCGGCCACTGAAAAAACCCTCCAACGAGCCTTTACGTAAAGTAATTTAACTATTATTTTAGTATCTCAGAATGTTGTAGTTTTCTTTAATAAAGACGTGATCATCATAAAACCGCTAATGATAGCTGTACTCTTGATCAAGATTGCTTTTTTGAGGCGGTAATGCCTTTTCGAAAACGGTAAAAGCTGCACTTCAAAACCTTCTTGGGGGAGGGGGGGGGGGGGGGGGGGAAGGGGCTCCATGACTGCTTGCGACTTCCCCGGCTACTAACAACAAATACCCGGCAACTTGAAATCTTAGTGACAACCCTGACTACTATAACAAATTAAATTTAAACAGTTTGAAAGTAAGTCAAAAATCCTTTGGAATTGCTTATGAACTAGCTTCTCATATAGTAAGACAAGATTAATTTCTGTTTTAAGTATGTAAATGAATGATCTCAAACCTAGAAATTTTAGTACATTATTATTTTCCCTAACCCTGAGAGACTCAGCTTTATAATTATTAGGAAAATTGCTGACGTACGATATCCTGAAGAATCGTTGGTGCGAGAACATTGGAAGGCCTCATAAAAGTAACCACATCATGTAAGACTCCATAATTTGTGTGACTGTATTGTCTTTTTAAAGGAACTACGTCACGAGATTTATCAAAATTCAAACAGTGAGAGTTGCTAACAAACTGAGTGATACTTAAAAATATTGGCTCAAAACAGTAAAAGGTGCTATAAATAACACAGCAAATACAAAAGAAGGTACTGATGGACAAACTTGAAGAAGATTAAAACGGATAACAATTGCGCTTTTTATGGGAGACAAAGTTAGAGGCAATTCTGGTTTAACCGAAGAAAGCAGTTTACCTACAACGTAGCCGAGCAAATTGACTGAGGGACGGGGGTTGGGGAACAGAAGGGACTTGTCCCTACCCTAGAGTGTGGAAAAGCTGTTTGCAGACTGCGCTACTAAATAGGACAATTATTTTTTTGGGGAGTTGGAGGGTAATACTGTTGTTTTAAGGTTTGTAGTTCACCTTTCGAGTGTCTGGAAACTAGTTATAGATACAAACATAACCCGCTGAGCGTTAGTTCTTAGTTGTTCCTGAGACTGTTCGTGATTGATGTTATGCAGTGCTACGTTGTAGCGAAATAGAAACCGATCAGTTTTGTGTCTTCTCTCCTTTTTACCTTATTGATTTTATTCTTGCTTTTTAGGATTGTTGTTGACTTGAGGCATGGCGTTCATTATCAAAAGTGTCATGACCCCGATTGTAAGCGCACTGATTATCGGTCTCCTGGTATGTATGTATAGTACGCGTGCAAGGAACAAGTTTCCCTTCCCAGACATATTGGCTTATTTTTCTGCTAGCAGACGACGTGAAAATTCTTTGGAAAACTTGTCCCAGTTTTTTTCGTGATCTATACAGACACAATTTTCCAGAAGCTGTTTATATAATATGAATTTTCAATAATTTGATGTTTATTTTTTACATTTGGATTGGAATCAACTGTTCGACGTTTCGATTATAAAAATACGTCCAAGTCACATGTTTTTTTGTTGGTCTTTCTTGTTTCCAGAACGTCCTATACCTGATGAGATTAATCCACTGTCACGTACTCAGGTACCTTTATTGTTGCTAGTCTATGGAGTACTTTCTTTCCACCGTGAAGTTCCCAAAGTAAAATACTCTGAATTAGCAGTCTTTGGGGGAGCGCTCACTCTCGTGGACTTCCTACCGAACAGTTCTCTATTCAGACGTAACAGAATTGGTCAAATCAAGACGATATTTTCCCATGTCTGTGATGCGGTACAAATAGGGAGCTTAAGCAACGACGCCGGCGACTTAGACGAAGCTAGAGTAGAGCGGCCAAAAAGCAAAGGTTTAGATTAGGAAAACAACAACTCTGCCCGTGCATCACGCTTTTTTGTACATTTCTTTGCCGTCACTGCATGACTACGACGTGAAAATACCTGATTTCACGTTTTGCGGAGGACGTTAACTTAAGACTTGACTTTCTTTTTCTTTTTCTGAATTCCGATACAGTCTTCTAGAATTCAACTCCAGAGAAAATTGACAACATTTAATGAATTGAACGAGATAGAACAAGCGCGATAAGGGACGGACCATTAGAAAAGTTATGGGGGGGTGCGGGCGAAGTGCAAAAAAAGTATTCGCGCAAGGGAAAATTAAATGGAAAAAAATCATGCACGCCAATTAACCGTACAAAAATATTCATGCTATGGCCTAAAAAAATTCATACAAGGAATTTGATAACGAAAAAAAATTCCTGCGGCTCAAAAATTCCCCACCCTCCCCATAACTTTTCTAATGGTCCGTCCCTAACGTTTGAAGCAGCGCGACTTCACTTTTTAAGTGACGTTTTCGTAGCCGTCGCCGTCGCTGTTGCTTAAAGGTGATGTTACACGCGACGATTCGCAAAGACAATTTTTAGCGCAACCCAGTGTTGCAATGTTGGAACAATGTTGTAAATATTCCAAACAATATCGAAACAATGTTGCAACGCTGTGTTGCGCTAAAAATCGTTGTTGCGAATCGTCTCGTGTAACATCACCTTTAGCTCCCTAATATGGTTCAAACCCGGGGAAAAACGGTGATGTTACACGAGACGATTCGCAAAGACGATTTTTAGCGCAACACAGCATTGCAACATTGTTTCGAATAGTTACAACACTGCTCCAACATCGCAACGCTGTGCTGCGCTAAAGATCCTCGTTGCCAATCGTCCCTTATAATATCACCCTAATACCGTACAGAGTACTAGATCACTAAGAGCAATGAAAAAGTATAATCACTTCATTGCCGTTTACATATATTGTTTTTATGTAGTGGTTGGTGAGATCCGTTGACTGACGCTTTTCCTTTAGTTCCTTCTTCTTACCTCTGACAAAAAAAAAGAATGAATGAATAAATAAAATTGTCGGTTCGCTCGCGAATGGTTCAGTTTTGGATGCGATAGTAGTATAGGGCGCAACGGTTACTCCTTTTTTCGGAGAAATCTCTTTACTCTTGGAGGAATATATTAAAGCCTATGACGTTATAGCGTTTTGTCTTCATCACATGAATGAAATGCGGAGGAATCGATCTCTTTAGGATATGGTGATGTTAAAATATATATAAATAGCACAACCTTATCTTAATGAGATTCCTTCGCATTTTCTTCATGAAATAAACGTCTTGATTCGCCATTAAGGTGATATTGCACGAGACGATTTGCAACGACGATTTTCAGAGCAACATAGCGTTGCAATGTTGGAACAATGTTGCAACCATTCGAAACAATGCGGCAACAATGTTGTAATGCTGTGTGGCGCTAAAAATCGTTGTTGCGAATCGTCTCGTGTAACATCACCTTAAAGGTGATGTTACACGAGACGATTCGCAACACAAATGCGATCCTTACTACATTTGTGTCCTTCCCTGCATTACATTTGTGACCGGTTTTTACATATGGCACCAATTCCTCATAACGTTTGGGACCCTTATGACATTTGCAACCTATTTCTTATTACATTTTGCACCAATAATTACATTTGGGACCTCAACAGGGCTTTAGTCTTTTTTCCCCTTATTTAATGAAATGTTTGTTATGCTCATAAGCATTTCTACGTCTTAGTTCTAGTTTTGCAGCTGTCTCTTCCAGATGAAAGAAGTTAAGCTGCTAAGCTTTTTCGTTTTCAACAGAGTTCTTTTTTTCCTTTCAGTATGAAGAGTTCTTCGGTTCTGAAGATGACGATCAAGAGCTTTGTAACGCTGCAGCTGACTTTGAAAAAAGGAATGTGACGATATGAGTAGCAGCCTCTGCAGTTCTTCAAAATACGGTGCTTTATTTGCAAATAGCTACAGCAGAGGAGAACAAAATCCCTCGGGAATATCTGAACTTATTATTAATTGGGATGATGAGAGCGAGGACGATATAGCATTGCTTCAAGTCGAGGTCCCAGAGGCAGCTTGCCATTCTACCGAAAGCATCGTTTCTCGCGCCCAAGATACGACAAATGCGCTGTCAGATGGTACAAGGAATAACTTTTTGAAAACAAGGGAGGGACCAACTTCGGACGGCCCGAAGTCCACAGACACCACGAGATCACAAAACGTCTGTGGTCATCCAGGAAGAAATGGTGTTAGCGTGGATAACAACCTATTAAATTTTACATCAGATAAAGATGTATGTAATTGGCTGAATGAGGATCCCGTCAGCGATTTGGAGTTGTCTTTTGCTGCAGAAGATGTTGAAAGCACAACCGACACGTTGAATTGAATAGCTTGTCCTAGTTTGATATCATGGAGTGTATGTAAGTAGCATTTTTATACGCCTAACTTTAGGATTACTTGGCATAGCTGCAAATAACAGACTTTCATCGGACAATTCGCCGGAGCACTGTTGAGTTTCCTATAGCAAGTAATTGGCAAAACTAAACGCAAAATTGGCTGGGTAGTGAACTGTTGTGACAGCCTCCCCCGGCTGTTCTAGGCGTTCATACAGTTGGGGGGGGGGGGCATAGAGTCTTAATGCATGTCTGGGACAGACACGACACACGTTCGTTTTAACGTATTTCATTAATTAGTTTAGTCAGTGTCTACCGTGAAGGGATCAGTGTGCGAATGCCATGGCGAAATTATTTTGGCTGGTTTTATTAATTACATGTAGAACTTCTTAAGTTTTAGATTCTGAATATATGTACAAATGTGACAGCATGCCTGTGTCAAAAACTATAGCTGGTTACTAGTTAGCATTGTAAAAAAACAAACCAGAACTTAAGTAAGATCAGTTGATTTCTCTGGCCTATCAAGATAAATTTTTACTGAAAAAATCAAAACTCGAATAATCGTCCGTGAACGGCCGCCGAGTTGCTCGTGCGAGCAAGTGTCAAGTTGGTTCTGATTCAATTTCTCCTGATTGGCTGAGAAAAGATGCGCGATATTTTTAAGCCAGTCACAGTGTCTATCAATTTTACACCAGGGCGATCGTAGTTTTACTCTCATCGCAAAGGCTTATAATTTTCATGTTTATCAACGTAGCAATAGCGAGTCTAACGGCGTCGTGGTTGATATAATGCGACAGAGCACAGTATAACATGGATGCGTAAAAATAAGCAGAAAATTTCTTGGGGGTTACTGATAATGTTGTTGTCTGTTGAAGATATCTTAAGATTCTAAGAAGAGGACGACTGCGAGTATGAGATTTTCTCAATACTAAGTTGTGCGCGCTTGAATCAGCGTCATTTTGGCGGGAATTAAAGTGATAGCTGTCGTCATTCATCGGCAGGTTTTAGCGAGGATGTCGTAATGCCGGAATAAGATATAGGAATTTTATCATTTTCCGTTCTTGGGGTAATTTTTCTGGTCAAAGAAGGAAAAAGAAGCTTTAAAGGGAGTCTATTTTTTGAGAATACAGTCGAACTTCCTCTAACAGCCACCTCTCCACAACGGCAACAGCCACTAAAGCGAGTCCCCAGCTGCCAAACCTCTCGACAACGGCTAGTTTTATTTCGGCACCGATGAAAAAGTAAAAAAATGACCATGAAATTTGATCCGTATAGCACGTTGATGATTAATTGCAGCAGTTGTATTTTGATTGTATTCCATTTATACTGCTTCATTAAGCCAGAGGCAGCAAGCCAAATTGTGTACGATACTTAAAGCGAATGTTGCGAACCTTGCTCGTTTTGTAACGGTAACATTTTGAGCCAAAACATTATTCAAGTTTTTTTGCATATTTTATCTCTTCATATTATACACAGCTGTTTCGAGAATGGTTGTCGGAAAAACTTTACGCGACAATCCCGAAAGGTATTTTGGGTGGTTTTGACTTCACTGTTTTTCAAAAAAATTTCAAAGAGTGGTACAAGAGGCCAAAGACGTAATTTGCGAGTGCTAAAGGAAAGCAAGAAGAAGTGGATTCGACAACTCCAGTGTCGGGAACAGTGTATTGATCATATCCGATACTACCTTTCGGGACTGTCGAGTGCACATTTTTTTGAGAAAACCTTTGTCGAAATAGCGGTATACATATTGGGATTCAGTAAGCATTAACTTAGCACAATAATCAAGTTGTACTCCTCTCAGTAAAAAATTGTCATATTGTCATATTACACCCCTACCTCGATAAAACGTTAAGTTTAATCTGGTCCTCGTCCTCGTCCTGCAATCTGAAGGTAACCAATGAGCGCAGCGCCAATCAAAATGCCTCGCATTTTGAAATTTGCATATGTCTCGTATTAGCGGAATTATTGTATTTCAAACTAAAAAGTCGAATCTCGAGCGCGATTTACGCAAAGAAACTGACATAAAATGAGTTACAAAAGGAAATCGGAAATTTCCTCACACCCTTTTTTAGGTCTTCTATCTGTCAATCAGATGCAATAAAAAGGAAGTGAATATTTAACAACGCGAAAGGGCTGGAGCTTCAGCAGTAAACTCGATACCTCTGAGTTCGAGAGCAAAAAACTTAAGTGCCTTTTGAAATTCGATGAAATAAAATCTTTTATAAGGTAATTTAGTCTTTTAGCTTTAATTTGATATATAACTTGCCTTTGTAGCGAAAATACTCGCGCGACTAGAATTTTTTTCTGTGGGCACCTCGTTTTCCTTTACCGAGACTTTAAATCAAACACAAATCCAGTTCCTTAATTAGGTTTTAATATACAAATGCGAAGACGTATGAAGGGTTTCGAGGCGGCACGAAATGCTATCCGCTGTAGTGTGAACACGGCCTTAAAGATAAAAAAAATGACTGACAAATGTTTTTCTTTGTCAAGGAAGAACTGAAGAACTTATCAAGATTTCACTTTACGTGGTCGTGTAATGTGTGCTCGTCGAAACAGAACACAAAACAATCCTCTGATCTGAACTATGCTTCCTGGAAGTCACGTAGAAATCCATAAAGAGTTCATTTAACCTAATTCTTTTGTTATAAAAATACTAAGTTTCAAAGAAAGAAAAGAACAAAACAGCAATGAGCGTGGGATTTTGTCGGCGTCGAATATCTCACGTGAAACAAAAACAAGGGGACCAAATTTGTTGGAAATATTTTATTTATATTATCATTGCCAGCCTTTGTTTCCTTGCAGTTCAGTCAGACAGTGTGGTATTCACAAATTTCTTTCAATTTCATGTTTATTTGCTATGATTTTCTTGAATTCTTTTTATAGCATTTGTTGCTTTGTTGAAGTGTTCTTTCCTGTTACAAACGTTGTCTACTTCAGTAAGCAGTGTAGCACACTTTGAAATCTCACAACAGGCGGGAAAAAAGGCTTTTATTACCCTGTAGTTAAGTAGTCCATAGCGTGAACAAGTAACAGTAAAATAAAAATCTTCGTTTATGCTGAATTCCCTGTAAATTTTATGAGACATTTTGGGCTTAATTTTCGGGTTATGAGGCGTATTATTTACTCACCTAACATTTCAACGTTATTTTGAAAAATGTCGCCAAATCCACAACTAAACTTAATCAGAATTCCAAAGCAAAACATAACTTTAGCAGGTAGGAGGTGCTATCAAGATTCTTCTGTTATACAAAGCTAGACGAGAACACATTAGAACACAGCTACAAGGTAATCCCAAAATTTTTTATTTTTTATTTCAAATTTATAGCCGTTGTTGGTATTTTTTCCTGGTCCCTGGACCTTTGTCGTGTGGATAATTTGTATTCAAGGCCACTGAGTTCGCTTTTATTATGTTTTAACCCTTTAAAACCTAACGTCAAAATTCAAATTCTCATTTGTTATCCCTATTCATTTCCTACAGAAGTAATGTGGAGAATTTGTTGAAGTGTCAATTAGATTCATCTTGTGTGATCATGTCTGTAATTCTCATGACCACTCTGTTTTACAAAGCATTGATATTACAAGGAGAAATTTGATGGTGATCACTCTTAGGGCTTCAAGGGTTAAAAAGGTAGCTAGGCAACACTGGTGTTCTAAAGACAGACGCCTTTATTGCGCTCTAAAAACTGGTGTGCGCATTCTTTATCCCCACTTTGGTGTTGAAATGTGCTATTCAAATGAATCATAAGACATTTTGCCTGAACGAGATGATTTTACGAAACTGATAAATAAATGACGTTATCGTTATAGCGTGGTTGAATAAACTTACCACATATTTTCCTTTTCTCTCGCAAAAAAGGTCTTTATTAAGCTAACAGATTATTAAATACTTTGTTATTGTTTCGTCTTGTGCTTACCTAGTCAAGTGTGCCTTCAATAATGAAATAAGCCGTATGTATATATATAAAAGAAGCCATGACCAAAAGGAAAAATTTCTCTCCCGGGGCGCCCTTCCCTCTTCTTCCTCTCGTAGCCCTCTTCCCTCCCCCACCCCGTACCCCGGGGAACCCCAGGAGAGCTGACTCGCGGGCTATTGTAAAGAATTTGTTTGAACAAAACTTGAAAAAGAAATAATAGGGCACGCTAGCACTTTTTAGGGGGAGAATCTGTAATGTTGAATAAAATCTTGGATGCGAAAAGATTAAAATGTAGGTAAACACCTGTTTTTTCAGAGGACAGTTCAATGATGGACACTTTGATAACTTATGTGTCGGTACTTTCTTTTTGCTTCTGTTATATGACCTTATATATTTTACTGTTTAGTGTTATGTCGATCGCTTTGTTGTCTCGTTAAATTGTTGATTCTGGCTGCATGACTGAACTGGCAGACTGCGGGGCAGTTGTGTACATGTTAACGTCGGTCGTAAAAGCTAATTTTTCGACACAGCCCATTTTAACGCCAGACATATGGCATGATACCTGAGGTGAGAGTTTATGCGACTGGCCTCAGGCGTAATTGTTAACACACGACTAAGAAATGATAGAACTAAATTAGAATGAGATTTTAGGAGGGCACAAATGGTTTAAAACTGGCAACAGAGACTTTTGAATGTCATTTTGGTTTGTCGGATGAGATGTCTCGGGTTTTTGACTGAAAGCCGAGATCTGATACAATATCTGTAGGAGAACCTGGTAGCTGTTTATAGCTTTACATCAGTCGCCTTAGATAATGTGAACTTCCCTTTCTGGTCATCAAAAACTAATGTCGATTAAATGTTTACTGAAGATAAAGCAGAATTTCCGATTACGAGGTCTTTAGCCAGCTCTATTTCAAGAGCGGTCTGAGAGAAGT